ATCAAAAGTCATAAAAACATCATAGTATAGTAAGGCATCAAAAGTCATAAAAACGTCATAGTATAGTAAGGCAAAAAAACATCATAGTATAGTAAGGCATGAAAAGTCATAAAAACGTCATAGTATACTAAGGCATCAAAACTCATAAAAACATCATAATATAGTATGGCATAAAAATGTCATTGTATAGTAAGGCATCAAAAGTCAAAAAATGTCATAGTATAGTAAGGCATCAAAAGTCATAAAAACGTCATAGTATTGGATAGCAAAAAAACATCTTGGTATAGCAGGGCACAAAAAGGCCATAAAACATCATAGAAAAGTAAGGCATAAAACGTCATAGTATAGCAAGGCATAAAAAGTCATAAAAACGTCATAGTATAGAAAGGCATAAAACGTCATAGTATAGCAAGGCATCAAAAGTCACAAAAACATCATAGTATAGTAAGGCATATAAAGTCATAAAAACGTCATAGTATAGTATGGCATAAAAATGTCATTGTATAGTAAGGCATCAAAAGTCAAAAAACGTCATATTATAGTAAGGCATCAAAAGTCATAAAAACGTCATAGTATAGTAAGGCATATAAAGTCCTAAAAACGTCATATTATAGTAAGGCACTAAAACATCATAGTAGAGTAAGGCATAAAACGTCATAGTATAGAAAGGCATAAAACGTCATAGTATAGCAAGGCATCAAAAGTCACAAAAACATCATAGTATAGTAAGGCAACAAAACGTCTTAGTATAGCAAGGCATAAAAAGGCCATAAAACATCATAGTATAGTAAGGCATAAAACCTCCATAAAACGTCATAGAAAAGTAAGGCATAAAACGTCATAGTATAGCAAGGCATAGAAAGGCCATAAAACATCATAGTATAGTAAGGCAACAAAACGTCTTAGTATAGCAAGGCATAGAAAGGCCATAAAACATCATAGTATAGTAAGGCAACAAAACGTCTTAGTATAGCAAGGCATAGAAAGGCCATAAAACATCATAGTATAGTAAGGCAACAAAACGTCTTAGTATAGCAAGGCATAGAAAGGCCATAAAACATCATAGTATAGTAAGGCAACAAAACGTCTTAGTATAGCAAGGCATAGAAAGGCCATAAAACATCATAGTATAGTAAGGCAACAAAACGTCTTAGTATAGCAAGGCATAGAAAGGCCATAAAACATCATAGTATAGTAAGGCAACAAAACGTCTTAGTATAGCAAGGCATAGAAAGGCCATAAAACATCATAGTATAGTAAGGCAACAAAACGTCTTAGTATAGCAAGGCATAGAAAGGCCATAAAACATCATAGTATAGTAAGGCAACAAAACGTCTTAGTATAGCAAGGCATAGAAAGGCCATAAAACATCATAGTATAGTAAGGCATAAAAATGCCACAAAACATCATAGTATAGTAAGATTTAAAAACAACATAAAACTTCAAAGTGTAAGGCATAAAATGTCATAGTATATAAGATACAAAAAATATCATAATATAGTACCTAATTATGCACACACATTCATACCAAAGCACCCGCAAAGTCGTAGCCTACCATGGTTCCTTGAACTCTCCCTCTGGATGACCTCAGCCAGCGGTGTCATAAGGGCTTGACACTTACCTACTCGCTTTGGAAGCCAATGGAAAAATTGCAGTCAGCGTGATACCAGAGGCAACATCAAGGAGAATAAAATCTGGATAAAAATTGCACGGTGCTTCCGGGATGTGTTGGGCAGGTAATCCTCATAGGTATTCCTATACAAATATTTGCATTTTTGCCTGTCTTTAACCACAGCTTCAGGGTTGTAACTGTTTTTCTACGTGGAATTTGTCTTAAGAACAGGCAGCAGCAATTGCGCATAGATCAACTGTCTGTCAAATATATTGTATTTCTGTAGTTTATAGAAAACTGTGTTGGAAACTGGTCTGCCAACACTTGTTCGGCAGACCTTTTCTAACTTATACTGTACATTATCTACTCTCTAATACTGTATGTTCGTCAGATAAGTAAAAATTTTTATATTGTTGCATTCAAAGGAGCATACATGGTAAAAAATATTCGAAACTTCAGAAATTAATAAATAATCTGACCTGTATAATCCTGTCGCTGTATTGAAGTTCATTTATGCCCAGTATACATGCTTGGTAACTGAAAATGTGAAGGGGGGGTTGTGGCTGAACAGGGGCCAGAGGTGCAGCTGATGAAACATTGGTTTTGGTCCGAGATGCTGGTGGTCTACTGCAACATCTAGTGGACGTGATTTTATTTACAGAACCTTTAATATTTTGTATGTAAAATCTTATTCAACAAAGTAACTGTATCTGTCAAGTCAAAGCAGATGTTAAAGTATATTTGGCTCTTCAATGCAGCCAAGCAAAAGTGTGTTCAACAAAAAATGACAAGACTCAAAGCACAAATGCTCCAGAATTTATTTTTTTACAATATTACCAAACTGTATCATATCATACTTTAACTGCACCTTAACTGCACTTTGGGTCACTGAATTATGTAACATAATAGTATTTACAAGAGATGTAGATCTCCTACATCTTGGTGTGTCAACTCTATAGCGTGAAATAATGAAAATATAATGTTGCAGAAATTCCCCAAATACATAAAAATATAAAATGAAAGGACATGTTCTAGACAAAAAAAGAAAAGACTCAACAAAAGTGATACACCAACACTAGATGGTACTACCTGGTGCCCACCTGAACTCTGAAAACCTCCAAGATAAGGAGTGGGAACAGGGAAACATGGGGAAAAGGCTGTGGACTTAAGAATCCAAGCAATTGCCTTTTTGAGTATGTACCACAGTTTTTATTGGTTTATTCATTACATCATAATCAGGGCTGTTGTAATCCATACTTTGTTTTCATAATAAATATTATTTTACAAATTAGATCCCTTTCTTTCCTTCATTGTAATTTGGAACGTGTCTAACTGCACACATCATACCTGGAGCATCAAAGCAAGTTTAAATCACAGGATTGCCTTTACAAATATAGTTTCTCACCTGTGTGGATTGTCATGTGGACTAACAAGCTATTGCTACATCTGAAGCCCTTCCCACATTTCACAAAAATATGGCTTCTCATCTGTGTGGATTCTCATGTGATTTTTTAATACAGACATGCTACAGAATCTTTTCCCACAGGTCTTGCAAAGGTACGGTCTCTCGTCTGTGTGGGTTCGCATGTGAAGTTTAAAGACGCTGCTCTGTCTGAATTTTTTGCCACAGGTGTTACAAATATATGGTTTCTCATCTGTGTGGGTTTTTAAATGGTCATTCATTGATGATTTCTGACTGAATTTCTTCCCACATGTGCTACATGAATATGGTTTTTCACCTGTGTGAATTCTTATATGAGTTTTCAGTGATGAAGTCCGAAAGAATCTTTTCCCACAGATGTTGCAGGAATATGGTTTCTCACCTGTGTGAGTTCTCATGTGGACTAACAAGTCACTGCTGCATCTGAAACCTTTCCCACAGGTGTTGCAAACATACGGCTTCTCACCTGTGTGGGTTCTCATGTGGAGCAGCAAGCTTGTACTAGTTCTGAACCCTTTCCCACATGTTTCGCAAGAATACGGCTTCTCACCTGTGTGGATTCTGACATGATTTTTCAATGCTGACGTCTGACTGAATCTTTTCCCACATGTGTTGCAAAGGTATGGCCTTTCACCTGTGTGGCTTCTCAGATGTACATTCAATTTGGACTCATACTTAAATGCTTTTCCACAAGTATGACACTTTAAAGACTTTTTATCCGTCTGAGTGTTACACTGACTCTTTGATTCTGGGTCTACATGCTCGCTTCCTTCCTGATCTTGGCTCTCAGCTACAGGAGAGTTGTGAGAGAGGAGCTGGTGGTCACTTTCCTCATTAGTAGGAGTCAACATAAAGGTATCAGTCTCCTGCTTCAGTACAAGCTGCTCTCCCTCCTGACTGGTGCAGAGTTCCTCCTCTTCCTCTTTAATCTGTGGAGGCTCTGGGTCCTCCTGGTCCAGACTGGAGTTCCTCTCCTGGTCACAGAGCTGCTGGTCAGTGAGAACCTCCTCCTCCTTACAGACATGTTGCTGTGGGAGCTCTGGAGGGACAAAGGGACATGACAAATAGGTTACTGATGTTAAGTGTGACTGTGTACCTGTGTGCAACCCGGTTTGTGACAGAAGACATCAGAGCAGATATGTATGAGTTAAATCTTTACATGCATGGGTGCTTTTTCAAACACTCCTGCATACCTCATGTCACTGATAATGACATATATTAAAACTATACTGCTTGAACTTTGGTGTAATTTACTTTTGTAACCTCTCACACCTACCAAATCCAAATTAGTCAGTTCAGACATCACTTATCACAGTCACTCTATCATGCTTATTGCACTGTGCACACTACAAAATTCCAGCAACCGCAATGCTCAACTCCCCTCTTCACCCAGCATTTCATCCTCTAGTCCACATGGACATTCGTGCCAAATTTGAAGGGATTCCCTTGAGGAGTCCCCAAGATAATGCGCTCACATGGCCAAAACTTTGTTTGGTGAGGTCACTTTGACATTGACCTTCAACCACCTAAAATCTGATCAGTTCATCCCAGATTCCAAGTGAATGTTTCTGCCAAATATGAAGAAATTCATTCCAGGCGTTACTGCGATGTTGTGTTCATAAGAATGGGACTGAAATAACCTGAAAACAGCACAGAGGCATAAAAAAAACAGAAAAACAAATGTGGTGGTTAATGTTGATATTCTGGCGAGCCGCCATTTGTCAATTTATGAGAAACACTGGATTGCGGCTATAAACTTTAACATCCCTGACAACCTCTGTAGTGTTATTTAGCCATAAGAATAATAAAACAGTCTTTACTGATGTTGGATGGAATTAAACTAACAGACATGAGGTGTAACAATAAGCATATTCACTGATTTTTTTTAAAGAAACAATAAGGCAGTACTTAGAGGGAAGTTTTTCTGAATATCTGAAATTGAAAATGTAAACTGGAGAATGGCTTGGTTTTTACCTTATCAATACTGTATCAAACATGGCTAAGAAAGTTTGTTTCAAAATGTTGCATTATAAACAGCCAGCTAGTTATCTTATTGGCAAAATGTGTTACTATGATAATCCAACTGATGACGCTCTTGAATGTCTGTTTAACTTCAGTATCCTTTATGCTAAATTCTTTATCTACAAAAAATCAACTTCTAAATTTTCACTTTTTCTCCTAGAGCTGAATTCTTTAATCAAGTCACACCGTTTGTTAAGCAACAATCTAAAGAGTAATAAGATTTTGGAAAATTATGGAATTTTTTTCCCTAGCTAAGAATGCTGATCTTACTCTTAAATTATTTTCGCCTGTTGTAAGATCAGGCTTCGTGTGTCAACCGTCCTTTTTTTAACAGATGTAAAGGCTTTAAGAAATCAGGACTTGGGTATTTACTGACGTAGAATACAACGTGAAAATATCTTGAGCTTGACCACAGCCAGTAAACAAAAAATCCATTCAAAAAACCCATAGACTTGGGGACGAAGAGCCGGAAGTGCTAAAATGCTAACTGATTTCTCGAATTTAAAACTCATTCCTGCGACACTCTATACATCACACGGTGTCATCATGAAGCCCAGCATTTCTCTGTGGACTTGAGGGGGAAACAAAACGTAATGCGAGGTCACGCAATAGTAGCTCATACCGTTCGGGCTCCGTGTTTTTACGGACCTCGAACTTAGTTCCTCTTGTTTATTCGTTAAAGTGTGTGCATTGTAGAAACACAAACATCTGCGTCAATTAAACCAAATGTAAACCATTAGGATCCAGTATGAGTCATGTCCCTGTGTTAGTTTTCATTCAGACCATTCTGGTTTCACAGACCTGTCCTGTGTAGCTTTATTTCGGGTTTCCAAACGATATCCAGCAGTCTGCGCTGACGATCGATCACTTCCTCGTACTCGACGATAGTTTTTTCAAAGACTCCGAATATTTCTTCAGCAGCAGCAGTTAGTCGCTCGTTGACAAACTCTCTCAGATACTGAACTGAAGACATTGTTGCTTCGTTACCACTGAAATATTTATCTGCGATACAACTACACCGTCGCCTTCAAGCTAACTACACACATACCTACAGCTAACGCTGCTACCGCTCACTTCCGCAAAGTGCTACACTGGAAAGTTCCGGCAGTGGAAATGAGTTGGCTTTCATTTCCGCCTTCAGTTATGATCGTGCATCTGTGTTCCTTCATTTAACGGGGAAATTTGGTTATTTTGTCTGAACCAACACTTTTAACTGACGTCTTTTCAGGCATTTTTTTTGATCGAACAATAATGTTGTATAAAAACATATAAGCAGGGATGGAAGAAGTTAACACAGGTGAGTAAAATTCAATGTAGAGAACATTCAAAATGTTGCTATAAACACAAAAATACTTTCAGCTAAATGTTAAAGTGTGAAACCTCCCCAGGCCCCTGTCCTGTTATTTATTTATTTTTAACCCCATTCACATACTGATACATAGTTTGACAAGGCATAAAATGATAAGGTAATTTTAAGTTTTTGTATTTAAAATATTTAGTAAACATAACTGTATATTTGCCTTTGAAATATAGTCAAGTTTGAATAGGATGCAATAACAAAATACATAAAAAAATGAAATGAAAGGACAAACTGTACACAAAAAAAAGACTGTAGTTGGCAGGATGACAACATAAGTGACCCAACAGCAGTAAATGGTTTCTCAGCTTCAACATCAGAGGTAGAGTATAAAAATAGCACACACAAAAAAAATCACATAACATTTGTTGGAACTATGAATTCAATGTGAAAACAAATATTTTAATATTTTACAAGATCTGGGAAATTACAGTTGTTTCAAAGAAATTCTGCTGCAACAGAAAGTAAGTCACGTGAAAGAAAACATTAGGCTAGTTTAACAAAACCTGAAGACATTGTTGACACTGTACTACTCTACACTAAGATACATCCTCTCTGTGGGAAATGTTATACATTCAATTACAGAAATGTATCTATTGCAAAAGTGTATTTCATTCAATTGCTGAACCCTCTCCACACAAGTTTCATCTTGATGGTTTCCCCTGTGTAAAATGATTTTCAGGTGTTTTTTCTTTTACAACTGTCTGATTTGAGGAAAAACTTTCCCCACAAGAGCTGCAATTATGTGGCTCTTCACTTCTGTGGGATCTTGTTTGTTTTGTCCATGAACCACTACAACTGAATCCTCCCACATCCCACACTCCTACATATACTAGGCTAAATGTGTGATCTCATTTACCTTCCCAACTGAGATACATCAAACCATCTTTTCCCTCAGATGTTGCAGTGATGTAGTTTCTCGCCAGTCTGGGCTCTTCTCATGTGGATTGTCAATTATCCCCCAAGTCTGAAAGTTAAGTAAGTATACAACTTTCAACCTTTATGAATTCTTATGTGCTTTTCCAAGTGTGGCTTTCGATAGAATCTTTTCCCACAGGTGTTGCAGGAGTACGGCTTCTCTCCCGTGTGGGTTCTCATGTGGTATTTTAAGTCACCACGACATCTGAAAGCTTTCCCACAAGTCTCACATGAATATGGCTTCTCACCTGTGTGGATTTTAAAATGGTTATTCAAATGTGTTATCTGACTGAAACTTCTCCCACAGATGTTGCACAGGTATGGCCTTTCACCTGTGTGAGTTCTGACGTGGAGTCTTAGGGAAGTCCTATATCTGTAACCCTTGCCACATGTTTTGCAAGAATATGGCTTTTCATCTGTGTGGATTGTCATATGTTGTTTCAGTAATGACATTGTACAAAAACTTTTACCACAGTTCTTGCAAAGGTACGGCTTCTCACCTGTGTGGATTCTCTTGTGGACTTTCAAGTTACCACTAGTTCTGAAAGATCTCCCACATGTCTCACAAGAATATGGCTTCTCACCTGTGTGGATTTTCAAATGCTCGTTCAAATGTTTTGTTTCTCTGAAACTTTTCCCACAGGTATTACAAAGGTACTGCTTCTCACCTGTGTGGATTCTCAGATGCATATTCAATTTATAGTTATACCTAAACTCTTTTCCACAAGTGTCACATTTGAAAGACTTTTTATCCATCTGAGTGTTACAGTGACTCTTTGACTCGGGGTCTACATGCTCGCCTCCTTCCTGATCTTGGCTCTCAGCTACAGGAGAGTTGTGAGAGAGGAGCCGGTGGTCACTGTTTGGTTCTGGTTCTCTGTGGTACCTTTCCTCATTATTAGGAGTCAACATCAAGGTATCAGTCTCCTGCTTCATTACAAGCTGCTCTCCCTCCTGACTGGTGCAGAGTTCCTCCTCTTCCTCTTTAATCTGTGGAGGCTCTGGGTCCTCCTGGTCCAGACTGGAGTTCCTCTCCTGGTCACAGAGCTGCTGGTCAGTGAGAACCTCCTCCTCCTTACAGACATGTTGCTGTGGGAGCTCTGGAGGGACAAAGGGACATGACAAATAAGTTATCAATGTGATGATGGAAAAACATACATCTTTGTTTGGTTCTATTTCATCATTGAGTAAGAATAAATAAGATGAGATGAAACAATAATTAAGACAAATAGATGACCTGTAAAAAATAATGACAGGTGAATTGAAACCAACAAAATAGGGAAAAATAAAACAATAACTAGGACCAGCAAACCAGACTAGTGTAATGCACAGCTTAAAAGGGATGTTTTTAGTTTTAAAAGATGATAGCTTTGGAGCACACCTAACAGCATGGTTAAGATGTCTTGACGGCTTGAAGAACAAAAGCTAAAGGCAGTTTCACCACTTTTCAGAAAAATCCAGGGAAATAACCAGACGGCCTGTTACAGTTGACTTATGAGCCTAGATGACTCATAGCTCACAAACACGTCAGAGAGATATTAGGGTGCCAGATCAAGGAGGACCTTAAAAGCAGGTATTATAATTTGAAAGTCAATTTTAAAATTTAAAATAGTCTTAATGGTAACTGGAGTCAGGAGTTATCAAACCTGGAGTCCAGCCAATGAAACCAGATTGGAGGTGTCGGTGCTGCTGAAACATCTGATAATGTAAAGAACGACTAGTACTGGAACAAAGCACCTCAAGAGTAACAGCTAAAGGCTGTTCGTTAGTCCACCACACACAGATCATGGAGCATGTCCTGCCATAGACACCACAGAGGAAGCTGCTGCACTTAAAAAAAAATGGAAGAAAAAAAAAACAACTAAACATTACTGCACCTGAAGTTTGTCAAAGAGCAGCTTAACCAAGGACGAATTGTTTAGGAAGAACATGTATGTATGCAGTAAACACGGCACTGCATACCAACATGAAAACATCCCAAAGGTGAAGTAGGATGAAAGGAGGATCATGATTTGGGGCTTTGCCGCGTCTGGGCCTGGACGGCTCAGCATCACTGAGGGGAAAATGACTTCCCAAGTTTATCTAGGGATCTTTAGGATCCAGTATGAGTCATGTCCCTGTGTTAGTTTTCATTCAGACCATTCTGGTTTCACAGACCTGTCCTGTGTAGCTTTATTTCGGGTTTCCAAACGATATCCAGCAGTCTGCGCTGACGATCGATCACTTCCTCGTACTCGACGATAGTTTTTTCAAAGACTCCGAATATTTCTTCAGCAGCAGCAGTTAGTCGCTCGTTGACAAACTCTCTCAGATACTGAACTGAAGACATTGTTGCTTAGTTACCACTGAAATATTTATCTGCGATACGACTACACCGTCGCCTTCAAGCTAACTCCACACATTCATACAGCTAAATCTGCTTGTGCGCTGTGATTGTTTACTTCCGCTTGGTGTCACACCGTGAAGTTCCGTGTCGTGTCAAAAAGTGATCTTTGCAAAAACTGAGCAAATGTATGTCCCTGTGAAACTTTAATGTTTCTAGTGATCGAATGATCACAATTCTGGCCACAAGGAGTGTTTGCAGCACGAGAGTCACGTGATTACAGGCAACACCGTATTGTTCCCGATGTTTATACCTTGTGTTTTAGTGTGTCTAATACCCTTGTTTATATCTGGAAACGAGACTGTGATTAATATGATTTACGGAAGGCTTATATATGACACAAAGAAGATCTGCAGTTTTCCTTATTATCTTTGAAGGGCCAATACAACACATAAAATGCACTTTTCCACTTGCCAAAAAGTGATTACCTCCTACCCTGTCACTGAAACGATGTTTTTGTCTGAAATTGACTTGATTTCATTCTTGATTTTTACATTTGACTGTAGCCCACAGTTTCTTACCATTTGAAATACCTTTAAAGGCCCAGTATAACACACGTGGTGTGGTTACAGTGGCCTGTGCTAGAACTGGACAAGACATTTGTGCAGTTCACATTTTTTTATATATAAAATTTATAATATTTAAGTAGTATAAATTACATAAATAGTGTGAATCTGTTATTCTTGCCACCTAATGAAGATTTATTGTTAGAATAAAGACATGAAATCAATGTCATCAGCCTAAATGGTAGTAATGCATACAACAATCAGTGCCTAAAGGAACTTTGGCAATGAAATGCTGCTTATATCGTAGTAACTGTCATCATTCAGTCATCAATGTGGGAACATCAGTCTGAGTAAACAGCACTGATAGAAATATTCTTATCAAAATTCTTTCCACGAAGCTAGCACCTTTACAGAACCATGAAGTTCATCTTCTACAATTGTGTTTGTGAGTCACCTGCAAAGCAAGACAAAATAAAAATATTAAGTTGATTCAATCACAAAATAAATACAAATATGAAATGAAAGGACACACTCCAGACAGAAAAGACTCCGGTTGGCAGGAAGAAAACAGAAGTGACCCAGCAGGACTAAAGGGTTTCTAAGCTTCAAGTTCAGAGAGTTCGCAATCTACTCATTGCTGAGTGTAAAAATAGTTCAAAAATAGTACCGATACCACTGAAATTTCATGATTCTCGATACCAAATTCAATACCACAGCAAAAACCAGAAAACAACAGATGCTGCTGTGTGTGCTAATTACAGTTGTCATGAGAACCAATACTTTGGTACCAAGTCGACACAAAAATTCTGGAAATGTGACAGTACTTGTTTTTGTACAGTATTGTAGGCGTCCTTGGTACTGTAGATGTTGTACGTACTTGAGATGTGATTCTTCCGGGACAAGTGTTCTGGTCTGACATCAAACTTGAAGAGAAGAGGGCAGGCACAGTAAACAACAACACATGGAATATGATAATATTAATAGTAATATAGACATATAAAGAAAAATCAGGCTAGCTTAACAAAAATTAACATTGACAAAGCCAGTAATTACACTTTGCAAAACACAAAAGCTGCTGATCAACTGCTGCCTTGCTCAGTTGGGTTGTTTGTGTCATTGTGTGACTTTCAGTGGTGGAAGAAGCCGTCAGATCCTTTACTCAGGTAAAAGTACCACACAATAACATAAACTAACTGATTGAGAAAGTGGCTGAACAGCAACTAGGTCTGGGCAATTAACTGAAAAAGTATGAAAACTGACATTTAGGACTTCTCACTGACAATACTTTCTCATGTCAGTTAATTTGATTAATACTTTCCCCAGTGTGTGCGTTCATGAAGTGTCCCCTTAAAAAAACACTACCTCATGTTCAGTCACGTGACTCTGACACATCCTACAAAGAAGCTATGTCCACTGTTCAGACTCATTTTGGCTCTGGTGAAGACAACAGAGAAAAAAATGAAGTCAAATGCAAATGCTGCAGAAAAAAACTAATTCAGAGACCAAAGATAACGCCACCAGTCAGTTTCATCATTTGGAGAACAATCACATTGCCGAATACGAAAAGTGCATGGCTCAAAAAAAGAGACTTAGGAGTGTCAAAGTACTCATTCATTAACCGTAATCGAGGTTCAAATTTGAAATAATTGTGATATTGATTTGAAGTCGTATCGCTTGGGCCTACTAGCAAGTACCAAGTTCTGGGAGGTAAAATAACTATATTTGTTAATGGAGTGTGGTAATGATGGAATGGCTATATCTGGTTTAACAAAAAGATCTTTCTCTTTAACAAAGGGATGTTCAAGTCCTATCCATAATGTTGTCGCAGAGTGGTAAAAACAAGCACTGTAACATGGACTTACTTTAATATGGACAGCTGCCCCATTGTTTACATTGCAGCAGCAGTGTACCGTTCCTATGTGTCCACATGTGTCCCTGTGAATTACGTACACCAAAAAAACATGGGAAAATCTGGGCCAGGTTAAAAAATCTCAGTTATCCTTTAAGTCTTAAAGGTCTCCCACAAGTCTCTCAAGAATACAGTTTCTCACCTGTGTTCTCGCAACTGATCAACCATGACTCATTAAATGTTTCTCTCCAGGTGCTGCATGCAGACTGCTTCTCACCTGTGTGGTCTCTCAGATCTATATTCAAGAGGGACTTGTAATGAAAAGCTTTTCCACAAGTGTCACTTTCCAAAGATTATGACACCTGTATGAACTCTTATATGCTGTTTCAAGTGTGTTGTCCGATAGAATCTTTTCCCACAGATGTTGCAGGGGTACGGCCTCTCACCAGTGTGGATTCTCGTGTGCCTTTTCAATACTGAGTTTTCACTAAATCTTTTCCCGCATGTTTCACAAGAATACGGCTTCTCACCTGTGTGGGTCCTCAGATGTATGATCAATTTGGACTTCCACTTAAACGTTTTTCCACAAATGTCACATTTGAAAGACTTTTTACCTGTCTGGGTGTTACAATGAGTTTCTGACATGAGAGAGTTGTGTACATTGTCACTGTGACTTGTGTTTTTGAGATGTCTCTTCTTTGGTTGCGTCTCTGCATTTTTAGTTGATTCTGGGTCTACATGCTTACTTCCTTCCTGATGTTGGCTCTCAGCTACAGGAGAGTCGTGAGAGAGGAGCTGGTGGTCACTTTCCTCATTAGTAGGAGTCAACATAAAGATATCAGTCTCCTGCTTCAGTACAAGCTGCTCTCCCTCCTGACTGGTGCAGAGTTCCTCCTCTTCCTCTTTAATCTGTGGAGGCTCTGGGTCCTCCTGGTCCAGACTGGAGTTCCTCTCCTGGTCACAGAGCTGCTGGTCAGTGAGAACCTCCTCCTCCTTACAGACATGTTGCTGAGGGAGCTCTGGAGGGACAAAGGGACATGACAAATAGGTTACTGATGTGATGATGGAAAAAAAAATACAGAAGAAACAGAAAGCAATTCTTCTCTATGTACAAACCTTCAACACATTATACAGGCAATAGGGTTAGAAAATGTGGGCAGACATGTAAGCCCCTGAACTGAATATTTAATTTTAAATGTTTTAAGATTAAAATCGAGGCTCGGTCATGTTATTTCTTTATTTAACATAAGTGCCCCAAAGTTTTTCCTTCATGTGACACAGTGAAAACTCAAAATTAAATGTAAGTAGAGCTCTGATCAGGATCCAGTATGAGTCATGTCCCTGTGTTAGTTTTCATTCAGACCATTCTGGTTTCACAGACCTGTCCTGTGTAGCTTTATTTCGGGTTTCCAAACGATATCCAGCAGTCTGCGCTGACGATCGATCTCTTCCTCGTACTCGACGATAGTTTGTTCAAAGACTCCGAATATTTCTTCAGCAGCAGCAGTTAGTCGCTCGTTGACAAACTCTCTCAGATACTGAACTGAAGACATTGTTGCTTCGTTACCACTGAAATATTTATCTGCGATACGACTACACCGTCATCTTCAAGCTAACGATGCTAACCCATTGTTTACTTCCGCTGAGTGTCACATTGTTAAGTTCCGGCAGGGGAGAGTGAGCCTTTGTTTGTGTCTTCAGTTATGATTGTACATATGTGTCGTTTCATATCAAGGGGTAATTAGGTCATTTTCTCTGTACTACCACATTTAACTGATGTTTTGTTGAGCTACTTTACAAACACAAGACTGGAAGATGTTAGGAAATTACTTTCCGTACAGTGTAATTTAAGGTATGAACGGTGAAAGTGCTCATGGACAATGGCCCCTCTCTGTGTTGGTGCCATGATGATGGAGACGGAATTTTCAATACGGCATCATTTTTTATAAGATCATTCCAAGTTTTTATGTATAAAATCTTATTCAGGAAAGTAACTATAGCTGCTATATACAGTAAATGTAGTGGACTAAAAGTATATTTGACTGTGAAATGTACAGATGTAGAAGTATCTATAACACAAAATAAAGTGACTCAAAGGAAAACAAATCTGAGAATTTATTTGTTTAATTCACGTATTCAGTATTTTTATTGTGTAATTTATATTCAGTCTTGGCCATCTGAGGACAATCAATGTCATACTCAGGCTAACATACTTGAATAAATGGCTTCAGTTAACATTCAATCTGTGTAAATATCCATGTTCAATATGAGACATGTTAATTGATATAATAACCAAACTGTATCACATTATATTTTAACTTCACCACCAGCAAGTATTGCATTTTATAATTTAACTGAAAAGAAAAATTATGACTATAGCTATAAATCTATGAAACTAAATGATGACTGTCACAAAGATCTTCACCTTGAGGGATGCCATCCTTCTAAATATCCTTTATGTTATGTCAACAAAGTCATATGACTGACCTCAAGAGGCTTGAATCGCCTTTTTACAGCATTCAGGCAAACATGCCTCTTGCTCTAGCCTGTAATACCTCCATACGAAACTGTTCCAACAAAGTCAAAATTTCCATAACCCTCTGAGGTAAGGAAAACTGATATTGAGAATAATTCAAGCATAGACCTTTAAAAGTGTGCTGTGTGGGTTCATGGCTTTATATTTCAGACTTCAGTGTGAATCTAGTATTCTTACATTAGTAGCCTGCAAACAGCACTGAAGGAAATATTTTTATTATCAAAATTTGTTCGACAAAAATCAGCTTATGTACATAGCACCTTTTAAAAAACAATGTAGTTCATCTTCTACAACTTGTGTTTGTATGTCACCTCTAAAACATTAGAAAATACAAATTACATCAAACTGATTCAATCAGAAAATTATTTTTAAAATATCAAATGAAACGACATGGTCTAGATAAAAAAACTTGTTGGTAAGATGACCACATGTGACTCAACAGCATTTGAGGATTACTCAGCTTCAACACAGACTTTTGTCCACCCCTATACCTATGGTACAGTATAAAAACATTAACATTTCAAAGTTCAGTCATTTATATTCTTAGAAACTCTGCAGTCATTGTAAAAAAAAAAAAAAGATTTTTCCAAGGCCATTTTTCAATGCTCTACTCATGTGGACTGTCAATTCCCCATTAAGTCTGAAGCTCTCCGACATGTTCAGCGAGTACATGACTTTTTATTTGTATGGATTGTTACATGTCTTACCAAGTGTGTTTTCAGACTGAATCTTTTCCCACAGATGTGACAGGGGTACGGCTTCTCACCGGTGTGGGTTCTAGTATGCCTTGTCAAAGCTGACTTGTTGTTAAATCTTTTTCCACAGGTGTTGCAAAGGTATGGCTTCTCACCTGTGTGGGTTCTCATGTGGATCAAGAGGCCTTTACTTGATTTGAGACCTTTCCCACATGTTTCGCAAACATATGGCTCCTCACCTGTGTGAGTACTTAAATGAATTTTCAATGTTGGTCTGAAACTGAATTTTTCCCCACAGATGGTACACGAATATGGCTTCTCACCTGTATGGATTCTTGTATGCTTACTCAAGTCTGAGTTGGTACTAAATTTTTTCCCACATGTGTTGCAGGTGTACGGCCTCTCACCTGTGTGGGTTCTCATATGGACCAAGGATTCATAAGAAGTTCTGAAATCTTTCCCACATATTTCACAAGAATAAGGCTTCTCACCTGTGTGGATTGTCTTGTGGATAAACAAGTTTGTACGGGTACTGAAACCTTTCCCGCATGTTTCACAAAAATGTAGCATTTCACCTGTGTGGGTTCTTGTATGTTTAGTCAAGTCATACTTGTTACTGAAGTTCTTCCCACAGGTGTTGCAGGTGTATGGCTTCTCACCTGTGTGGATTTTTGTATGCTTACTCAAGACTGACTTCTCACTAAATTTTTTCCCACAGGTGTTGCAGGTGAATGGCTTTTCCCCTGTGTGGGTTCTCATGTGGACCAACAAGCGTGTACTGGAAGTGAAACCTTTCCCACACGTTTCACAACAATAAGGCTTCTCACCTGTGTGGGTTCTTGTATGCTTAGTCAAGTCATACTTGTTACTAAATTTTTTCCCACAGGTGTTGCAGGTGTATGGCTTCTCACCTGTGTGGGTTTTTGTATGCTTATTGAAGGCTGACCCATCACTAAATTTTTTCCCACATGTGTTGCAGGTGTACGGCTTCTCCCCTGTGTGGGTTCTCATGTGGATCAAAAGGCCTGTGCTTGATCTGAAATTTTTCCCACACGTTTCACAAAAATATGGCTTCTCACCTGTGTGAGTTCTTAAATGAGTTTTCAATGTGAATGTCCGACTGAATTTTTCCCCACAGAAGCTACAAGAATACGGCTTTTCACCCGTGTGAGTCCTCATGTGGAGTTTCATACTGTTATATCTGGAAGCTTTCCCACATATTTTACAAGTGTATGGCCTCTCACCTGTGTGGTGTCTCTGATGTATTTTCAAAGTGGACTTATTTTTAAAAACCTTTCCACAAGTGTCACATGTGAAAGACTTTTTGCCTGTCTGTGTGTTACAGTGACTTTTTGATTCTGGGTCTACATGCTTGCTTCCTTTCTGAGCTTGGCTCACAGCTACAGGAGAGTTGTGAGAGAGAAGCTGATGGTCACTTTCCTCATTAATAGTTATTGACATAAAGGTATCCTTCTCCTGCTTCAGTACAAGCTGCTCTCCCTCCTGACTGCTGCAGAGTTCCTCCTCTTCCTCTTTAATATGTGGAGGCTCTGGATCCTGGAGAACCTCCTCCTCCTTACAGACAGGTTGCTGTGGGAGCTCTGGAGAGAAAAAGGACATGAGAAATAGGTGCAACATAAATATTAAAAAGTGCCTGATACAGTGGTCTGTTAAATAAGTGGTCTGTTAAATAAGAATCAGTACAGATGAAAGGTGGTATATGACAGTCGAACATGACATTAATATCAGTAAATGATGTGATGTTTCAAAACGAGATCTGAGTTACAGAATAGGATTACGGCCACACGTGGACATTCTTTTTTTCAAATCAATATTCTATGTTTTTTTTTTTATTTCAAATGTGTCCTTAATCCTCCTTGGTACTTAGTAATTAAGTCCCTATGTTAGTTTTCATCCAGACCATTCTGATTCTACAGACCTGTCTTGCATAGCTTTATTTCAGGTTCCCAAACGATGTCCAGCAGTCTGTCTGTCTCCTGCTTCAGTACAAGCTGCTCTCCCTCCTGACTGGTGAAGAGTTCCTCCTCTTCCTCTTTAATCTGTGGAGGCTCTGGGTCCTCCTGGTCCAGACTGGAGTTCCTCTCCTGGTCACAGAACTGCCGGTCAGTGAGAACCTCCTCCTCCTTACAGACATGTTGCTGTGGGAGCTCTGGAGGGACAAAGGGATGTGAGAAATAGCATCAATACACAAAGTGAATTATCATTTGAGTCACTCTACCAGTGAAATGGGAGTGATAAGATGTTTATAAGATGAACACTATCAACACACCACAATCAGCAGTGATCTGTATTAATAAGAATCAGTATGTGCAGATGACAGGTTGTACATGACAGTGGAACAAGAGGGACACACAATCAGACACATTTAATCTCAGTAAATAATGGGAAGTTACAAAACCGGATATTGGGTATAAAAAGCTCCTGTTAGTTTTCATCCAGACCATTCTGATTCTACAGACCTGTCCTGCATAGATATTTTTCAGGTTTCCAAACGATGTCCAGCAGTCTGTCAGTCTCCTGCTTCAGTACAAGCTGCTCTCCCTCCTGACTGGAGCAGAGTTCCTCCTCTTCCTCTTTAATCTGTGGAGGCTCTGGGTCCTCCTGGTCCAGACTGGAGTTCCTCTCCTGGTCACAGAGCTGCTAGTCAGGGAGAACCTCCTCCTCCTTACAGACAAGTTGCTGTGGGAGCTCTGGAGGGACAAAGGGATGTGAGAAATAGCATCACTATACAAAGTGACTTATCATGTGTGTCACTCTACCAGTAAAATGGGAGTGATAAGATGTTTATAAGATGAACACTATCAACACACCACAATCAGCAGTGATCTGAATCAATAAGAATCAGTATGGGCAGATGGGAGGTGGTCCATGACAGTGGAACGTGAGGGACACACGATCAGACACATTTAATTTCAGTAAGTGATGTGATGTTACGAAACTGGATCTCTGAGTAAATAAACTCCTGTGTTAGTTTTCATTCAGACCATTCTGGTTTCACTGACCTGTCCTGTGTAGCTTTATTTCAGAATTCGAAATGACTTCCAACACTGGAGTTCCTCTCCTGGTCACAGAGCTGCTGGTCAGCGAAAACCTCATCCTCCTTACATACATGGCGCTGTGGGAGCTCTGAAGGATAAAGGAAAGAGGTTACTAATGTGATGATGGAAAACACAGATATTGGTTTGGTCTTGTTTTATTCTAAGACAACTCACAAATAACAAATGTACAGAAAGTATAAAATAAATAAAAAGTAAAATAAGAGTTTGCAAAGCAAACAAAATGCTGTGTGTAAAACTAAAGCAGAAAAAAGGATAAAAACAACAAAAGTTAAAATGAGTCATTTCACAGTGGTCCTGACCTGCTCCCAGTCATGACAACAAAGACTGCTGCCTCTCTGCTGCACTACTATCCAAAAATATCCTCTGTCCATGTCAAAACACATATCTGTGTCAACAACCAACGTTTGGTCGATTACCGGGCAGCCATTGACTGAAAGCTGTTTGAAAAGAGATGCATGAAAGCAGAATACAGAAGCATTCATTCCCCTTGTTTGGTCTTTGTTTCACAATTCTTCTATAATCTTGTAGTTCAGTCAGTTTCTCCTGTGTCTTATACAATCTGTATGTTTAATGTTTAGTCATTAAAAGTAAGAGACTCAGTCGTGTTATTTCTTTACATATAAAAACAAACTGCCCCAAACTTTTTCTTTCATGCGCAACAGTGAAAATTTAAACCACATGTTAGAGTAAAGCTCTAATCAGGATCCAGTATGAGTCACGTTCCTGTGTTAGTTTTCATTCTGACCTTTCTGGTTTTACAGACCTGTCCTGTGTAGCTTTATTTCGGGTTTCAATGACGATCGATCTCTTCCTCGTACTCGACGATAGTTTTTTCAAAGACTCCGAATATTTCTTCAGCAGCAGCAGTTAGTCGCTCGTTCACAAACTCTCTCAGATACTGAACTGAAGACATTGTTGCTTAGTTACCACTGAAATATTTATCTGCGATACGACTACACTATCGTCTTCGAGCTAAGTCCATACAACCTACAGCTAACACTATTCCCGCGATTACATTGTATACTTCCGCCGGGTGTCACACTTTGTTATTCCGGCTTGGAGACGTGAGTTAGCTTAAGTTTCCGCCTCCGGTTATGATAGTTCATCTGAAGGAAGATAGAAGGAATGAAGGATACAAAGAAAAAGATTATGCTAGTTTAATCAACGTTGATGGCACTGACAACATACTACATTTAACTAAGATATTGTGACACCATCTCAAATTGGAAATTCTATACATTTATTACAGACAAGACACATAGTGCTATAGTTATGTGAACCAACGCAAACTAAAGCACACTCATTTATTTAATGTTGTTCCCATTATTTCTTTTCAAATTAAAAAGAGGTGAAACTCAGAGCCTGAAGAACAAAACATGTTAGTCAGTATTCAACTTGGTTAACCAGGGCTAAGACACACACAGGGAAACAGAAGGTAGAAGAGAAGTTATGTGGTTTCTCATCAATATGTGCTCTTCTCATGTGGACTGTCAATTCTCCACTAAGTCTGAAAGCTCCTCCATGTTTTGTAAGGTTACTTCTGGATAAAACTACTGTATAATAATGTACTGTAACTTCAACCCTAGCTTGTGAGCTGCAACATAAAAGCACCTGTTGCATGTTTTAATTGAACTCTGAAAAGAACTCAAGTTATGGCTATAGCAGCAACTCTATGAATTACAACTACACCTTGAAGGATGCCATCATCTTACATATCTTTGAGGTCTTATGTTAACAAAGTCATGTGACATAAAGAGGCTTGGCTTGCTGTTTAAGAACATCCAGGTGAACTCGCATCTTCCTCTTACCTGGAACGCCTCCAGATGAAACTTTCAACAAAGTCAAAATTTCCATAACCCTGAAGGTTGGAGGAAACTGCAAGGGAATTCCAAAACAGATGTAGAAAAGTGTGCTGTGTGGGTTCAAGATGGTTCGTCTTCACATCCACCTCCAGCCTCTATGAACAGTGTCCTTGTAGATCTAGACTTCAGTGTGAATCTGTTATTATACATTATCACCCTGCAAAGCTTTTGTCATTTTATCAGATCCATCAGTGTGAGATCAACCTGAACAACCAGCACTGAAAGAAATATTTTCATTATTAAATGCTTTGATCAAAGTCAGTTTATTTGTATAGCATCTTTTACAAAACAATGTAGTTCACCCTCTACAACCTATCTTTGTGCATCACTTCTAAAACTTGAGAACATACAAACTACATCAAATTCATCCAATCAAAAAATTATTAAAAATAACAAATGAATGCACATGATCAATACAAAATGAACTAGATGGTTAAATGACCACATAAGTGACAAAACAGCGTTGAGAGTTTCTCGGCTTTAACATTACAGACCAGCCCACTCATAACTGTGATAGGGCATAAAAATCTAAAATTCAACAATATTTCAGAGTTCAGTCATTTATATTCTTAGAATCTATGCACTCACTGTAAAACTAATACTTTTCCAAGATCATTTTTCAAAGGCTCTTTACATATGGACTGTCAATTCCCCATTCAGTCTGAAAGCTCTCCAACATGTTCAGGAATTACATGAATTTTTATTTTTTATGGATCTTCAGATGTGTCACCAAGTGTGGCTTCTGACTGAACATTTTCCCACAGATGTCACAGGGGTATGGCTTCTCCCCTGTGTGGATTCTCATGTGGATTAACATCATTTGCTTAGTAGCGAAACTTTTCCCACACCTTTCACAAAAATATGGCTTCTCCCCTGTGTGCGTTCTTGTATGCGTGCTTAAGGATGTCCTCCCACGAAATTTTCTCCCACAGGTGTTGCAGGTGTAGGGCATCTCACCTGTGTGGATTCTCATGTGGACCAACAAGCTTGTACGCGTAGTGAAAACGCTGTCACACGTTTCACAAAAATATGGCTTTTCACCTGTGTGGGTTCTTGTATGGTTCCTCAAGCCTGTGCTGTTAGTAAATTTCTTTCCACAGGTATTGCAAGTATACGGCCTCTCACCTGTGTGGGTTCTTGTATGGTTCCTAAAGCATGAATTGTGAGTAAATTTCTTCCCACAGGTTTTGCAGGAATATGGCTTCTCGCCTGTGTGGATTCTCATGTGAACTGACAGACACGGATTTGAGCTGAAACTTTTCCCACACGTTTGGCAAAAATATGGCTTCTCACCTGTGTAGCGTCTCTGATGTATTTTCAATTTGGACTCATACTTAAAAACTTTTCCACAAGTGTCGCATTTGAATGACTTTTCACCTGTCTGATCGTTACAAGGTCTCGTTGCTGTGGGAGAGTTATAGACGTAGTCACTGTGATTTGTGTTTTTGTGACGTCTCTTCTTTGGTTGTGTCTCTTCACTTCCTGTTGATTCTGGGTCTACATCCTTGCTTCCTTCCTGATCTTGGCTCTCAGCTACAGGAGAGTTGTGAGAGAGGAGCTGTTGGTCACTTTCCTCATTAGTAGGAGTCAACATCAAGGTATCAGTCTCCTGCTTCAGTACAAGCTGCTCTCCCTCCTGACTGGAGCAGAGTTCCTCCTCTTCCTCTTTAGTCTGTGGAGGCTCTGGGTCCTCCTGGTCCAGACTGGAGTTCCTCTCCTGGTCACAGAGCTGCTGGTCAGTGAGAACCTCCTCCTCCTTACAGACATGTTGCTGTGGGAGCTCTGGAGGGACAAAGGACACAACACATAGTTTAGTAATGTCATGATAGAAAAACTCAGGTCTTGGTTTGTCTTATTTTATCCAAATTCAACTCACACAGAACACACTTAAATTATCCCAAAAGGATAAAAATATACAAATACAGTAGAGACAGTGCAAAACAAATCACAAGCAGCACACAAAGTGCTGTGAGTAAAACTGAAGCACGAAACAGGATAAAAACACTAAAAGAAAAAAAAAGGAAAAAAAAAAAGAAATTACTTCTACAGTGGTCCTGGCCTGCTTCCAAATCGACAACAAAGACTGCAATAAAGAACGATGCATTAATTTCCTTTGTTCTTCGTTTCACAATTCTTCTATTATCTTTTAGTTCAGTCAGTTTCCCCTGTGTCTTATACAACCTGTTTGTTTGATGTTGAATGTTTACTGATAAAAAAATTTGATATGTGACCCTAAAAGCAAATAAGCGTAGAGCTCTGATCAGTGTTAGTTTTCATTCATACCATTCTGTTTCACAGACCTGTCCTGTGTAGCTTTATTTCCGGTTTCAAAACTATATCCAGCAGTCTGCGCTGACGATCGATCTCTTCCTCGTACTCGACGATAGTTTGTTCAAAGACTCCGAATATTTCTTCAGCAGCAGCAGTTAGTCGCTCGTTGACAAACTCTCTCAGATACTGAACTGAAGACATTGTTGCTTCGTTACAACTGAAATATTTATCTGCGATACGACTACACCGTGGTTTCCAAGCTAACTCCACACATCGTCTAACGTTTTTCGCGCCGTTACATTTTATACTTCCGCTAGGTGTCACACTGTGAAGTTCCGGCAGGGGACTCGAGTTAACTTTTATTTCCACCTTCAGGTATGAATGTACACCTGTGTCGCTTCATTTCACATGGGAATTAGGTTATTATCTCTGAACTACCAAATTTAACTGATGTGATTTGGAGCTTTTTCGCAAATAATAACTTCGTATTTAACTAGCAGGGACAGAAGAAGTCACATTGTCACATTCATCTAGTTCCTTCCTATGCTACTTAAAAATATAATGTAATTCAGTAATAAACCAAACCCAGCTTTGCTCGGACTTAATGTTTTTATTCTTTTTCATTGTTTCTTAGCAGATGGATGAAGTGGAGATATCTATTTTTTCACCTACTTCTCTGATTACTGGATGGTTGAATAAGAAATGTTTCATAAGCTAATTATAGCTCATTTTTTGTGTAAAATGTATTCAGCAAAGTAACTGCGTCAATCACGTGAATGTAGTAGACTAAAAAGTACATGTGCCTGGGAAATGTATTTTACATGACATAAATTCTTCATTGTTAATCTGATATTCTTACATTATCACTTTTCAAATCTTTTTATTTGTATTTATAATTGCACAAGAAATTAAAAAATAAAAAAAAGCATTTTAATGCCCATGTTACTTCAGGCACTGATCGCTGTTGGCATTACTACCACTTAAACTAATGACAGACAGGTATAGTTAATTTATCAATGTGGTAACACTGGTCTGAACAAACAACATTTAGCGAAAAATCTTTACTATCAAAAATATTTGAAAAAATAAAGTCAGTTTATAATATAGCACCTTTTATAAAACATTTTATCTGCGATACGACTACACTGTCGTCCCCAAGCTAGCTCCACACATACCTGCAGTTAACGCTACTAGCACGCTTGTTTACTTCCGCTGGGTGTCACACTGTGAAGTTCCGGCAGGGGACGTGAGTAAGGTTTTATTTCCACCTTCAGTTATGATTGTACATCTGTGTCACTTCATTTCACAGGGAAATTATGTCATTATCTCTGAACTACCACATTCAACTGATGTCTTTTGGGGTTATTTTGCAAATAATAAGTTTTTAAGTATTTAATAAACAATGAGGTGGAGGCTGGATGAGGTGAAGATATCTATTTCTTCACTTACTTCTCTGACCACTTTATGGTTGAATAAGACATGTTTCATAAGCTAATTATAGCTAAAATTTTTTTGTGTAAATTGTATATGGCAAAGTAACTGCATCCATCAAGTGAATGTAGTGGAATAAAAAGTATATGTGCCTGTGAAATGTATTTAAGTATATATGACATAATTTCTTCATTGTTAATCTTATATTCTTACATTATAACTTTTCAAATCTTTTAATTTGTATTTATAATTGCACAAGATCAGAAAAACAACATTTTAATGCCCATGTTACCATGTTACGCTGTTGACATTACTACCACTTACAAACAGGTATAGTTATTGTTCAATCATCAATGTGGAAACACTGGTCTGAACAACCAACATTTACGGAAAAATCTTTACTATCAAAAATATTTGACAAAATAAAGTCAGTTTATTCATATAGCACTTTTTGTAAAACATTTTATACATCAATTTGATTCAATCACGAAAAAATAAAAATATAAAATGAAAGGACATGCTCTAGACAAGAAAAGATTGAAGTTGGTAGCATGACAACATAAGTGACCCAACAACACTAGAGGGTTTCTCAGCTTCAGCATCAAAGTTAATAATCAACTAACATAATCGAGGTAGAGCATCATATATATATATATATATATTTTTTTTTTTTTAAATTCACAGTTGTATGCACTAACTGTGAAATAAAAAGTTTGCCAATATTTGGGAGATTACAGTTGTTTCAAAGAAATTTTGCCGCAAACAGAAATATAAGTAACACCGTCATATGGAGGGGAAAATGAGGCTTGTTTAACCAAACTTGATGGCACTGATGACAATATACTACATTAAACTAAGATATTGTGAAACTTTCTCAATGGGAAATTTTAGAGATTCAATTATAAGCACAGACACAGTCCAATAGTTACGTAAACCAATGCAAAGTAAATCTGAGACTCATTAATTTAATGTTGTTCCCATTATTTCTTTTCAAATTAAAAAGAGGTGAAACTCAGAGCCTGAAGAACAAAACATGTTAGTCAGTATTCAACTTGGTTAACCAGGGCTAAGACACACACAGGGAAACAGAAGGTAGAAGAGAAGTTATGTGGTTTCTCATCAATATGTGCTCTTCTCATGTGGACTGTCAGTTCTCCACTAAGTCTGAAAGCTCACCCACATGTTAAGGAATTATGACTTTTTATGTGTATGGATTATTACATGTCTTACCAAGTGCACCCTCTGACTGAACTTTTTCCCACAGATGTCACAGGTGTACGGCTTCTCACCTGTGTGGATTCTCATGTGGACCAAGGATTCATAAGAAGTTCTGAAATCTTTCCCACATGTTTCACAAGAATAAGGCTTCTCACCTGTGTGGATTCTCATGTGAACCAACAAGACTGTACGAGTAGTGAAACCTTTCCCACATGTTTCACAAAAATGTGGCTTCTCACCAGTGTGGGTTCTTGTGTGCTTACTCAAGTCTGACTTGTCACTAAACTTTTTCCCACAGGTGTTGCAGGTGTACGGCTTCTCACCTGTGTGGATTCTGACATGGACCAACAAGCATGCACTAGTACTGAAACCCTTCCCACACGTTTCACAAAAATATGGCTTCTCACCAGTGTGAGTTCTTGTATGTTTATTCAAGTCTGACTTGTTACTAATTTTTTTCCCACAGGTATTGCAGGTGTACGGCTTCTCACCTGTGTGGGTTCTTGTATGCTTACTCAAGGCTGAATTGTTAGTAAATTTCTTCCCACAGGTGTTGCATGTATATGGCTTCTCACCTGTGTGGGTTCTCCTGTGGATCAACAGACCCGTACTTGTTCTGAAACTTTTCCCACATGTTTCGCAAAAGTATGGCTTTTCACCTGTGTGGTGTCTCTGATGTATTTTCAATTTGGACTTATTCTTAAAAAGTTTTCCACAAGTGTCGCATTTGAATGACTTTTCACCTGTCTGAGTGTTACAGTGACTCTTTGTTGTGGGAGAGTTGTATACGTTGTCACTGTGACTTGTGTTTTTGTGATGTCTTTTCTTTGGTTGTGTCTCTGCATTTCTAGTTGATTCTGGGTCTACATCCTTGCTTCCTTCCTGATCTTGGCTCTCAGCTACAGGAGAGTTGTGAGAGAGGAGCTGTTGGTCATTACCCTCGTTAGTAGGAGTCAACATAAAAGTATCAGTCTCCTGCTTCAGTACAAGCTGCTCTCCCTCCAGACTGGTGCAGAGTTCCTCCTCTTCCTCTTTAATCTGTGGAGGCTCTGGGTCCTCCTGGTCCAGACTGGAGTTCCTCTCCTGGTCACAGAGCTGCTGGTCAGTGAGAACCTCCTCCTCCTTGCAGACACGTTGCTGTGGGAGCTCTGGAGGGACAAAGGGATGTGAGAAATAGCATCAATACACAAAGTGAATTATCATTTGTGTCACTCTACCAGTGAAATGGGAGTGATAAGATGTTTATAAGTTGAACACTATCAACACACCACAATCAGCAGTGATCTGTCAATCAATTAAATTTGTAGGAACTATGCTCTGTGAAATGTGACAACATGCAACTGAGATGCTGTGACCACTGTGGGAAATGTTCTACATTCAATTACAGAGAAGTATCTGTTGCAAAAGTGTATTTCATTCAGTTGCTGAACCCTCTCAAATAAACTCTCCAGTAAACTGATTCTCAGGTGATTTTTTCAACTGTGTGATTTGAGAAAAAACTTTTCCCACAAGAGCTGCAATTATGAGGCTCTTCACTTTTCATCTTTTCCCGCCAGTGTTTCAGTGATGTGGTTTCTCTCCAATGTGAATTCTTTTCCTGTGGACTGTCAATGCACCACCAAGTCTGAACGCTCTCCCACATATTGTGGTAAAAGTAAATATAAGTTTGTATGTGATTGTATGTTTCAAGTATGTTACTTCTAATCTATATGAATTCTTAGGTGCCTTCACAAGTATATTCTCTGACTGAATCTTTTCTCTCAGGTGTTGCAGGAGTACGGCTTCTCACCTGTGTGGGTTTTCAAATGGGAATTTAATGCTGAAATGTGTTTGAATCTTTTCGCACAGGTGTTACAGGAGTACGGCTTCTCACCTGTATGAGTTCTCATGTGGACTTTCAAAGCACATCTTTGTCTAAAAGCTTTCCCACAAACCTCACAAGGATATGGTTTTTCACCTGTGTGGATCATCACATGGTCTTTCAATAATTTCGGTATATGAAATCTTTTCCCACAGGTGTTGCAAAGGTACGGCATCTCACCTGTGTGAATTCTCATGTGGATTGTCAACGCACCATTTTGTCTGAGAACTTTCCCACAAGTCTCACAAGAATATGGTTTTTCACCAGTGTGGATCCTTGTATGTTCTTTCAACGCTGACTCTCTACAAAATCTTTTCCCACAGGTCTTGCAAGGGTACGGCTTCTCACCTGTGTGTTTTCTAAGATGTTCAATGAGAAGGTACTTGTACTTCCACAGGTGTCACATTTTAAGACTTTTTACCTGTGTTACCTTGAGAGTAGTGAAAGAGGAGCTGTTGGTCATTACCCTCATTAGTAGGAGTCAACATAAAGGTATCAGTCTCCTGCTTCAGTACAAGCTGCTCTCCCTCCTGACTGGTGCAGAGTTCCTCCTCTTCCTCTTTAATCTGTGGAGGCTCTGGGTCCTCCTGGTCCAGACTGGAGTTCCTCTCCTGGTCACAGAGCTGCTGGTCAGTGAGAACCTCCTCCTCCTTACAGACATGTTGCTGTGGGAGCTCTGGAGGGACAAAGGACACAACACATAGTTTAGTAATGTCATGATAGAAAAACTCAGGTCTTGGTTTGTCTTATTTTATCCAAATTCAACTCACACAGAACACACTTAAATTATCCCAAAAGGATAAAAATATACAAATACAGTAGAGACAGTGCAAAACAAACCACAAGCAGCACACAAAGTGCTGTGAGTAAAACCGAAGCACGAAACAGGATAAAAACACTAAGATTTAAAAAAGAAATTACTTCACAGTGGTCCTGACCTGCTCCCAAATCACGACAACAAAGACTGCAGTAAAGCACGATGCATTCATTTCCTTTGTTTGTTCTTCGTTTCACAATTCTTCTATAATCTTTTAGTTCAGTCAGTTTCCCCTGTGTCTTATACAACCTGTTTGTTTGATGTTGAATGTTTACTGATAAAAAAATTTGATATGTGACCCTAAAAGCAAATGTAAGCGTAGAGCTCTGATCAGTGTTAGTTTTCATTCATACCATTCTGTTTCACAGACCTGTCCTGTGTAGCTTTATTTCGGGTTTCCAAACGATATCCAGCAGTCTGCGCTGACGATCGATCTCTTCCTCGTACTCGACGATAGTTTGTTCAAAGACTCCGAATATTTCTTCAGCAGCAGCAGTTAGTCGCTCGTTGACAAACTCTCTCAGATACTGAACTGAAGACATTGTTGCTTCATTACCACTGAAATATTTATCTGCGATACGACTACACCGTCGTCTTCAAGCTAGCTCCACACGTCCATGCAGCTAAAGCTGCTATCGCTTTCATTATTTACTTCCGCTGGGTGTCACAGTCTGATGTTCCGACAGGGAACGTGAGCTTTTGTTTCTGCCCTCAGTTATGATTGGACATCTGCGTTGCTTCATCTCAAATGTAAATTATGTTATTTTCTCCGTACAACATTTAACTAATGTCTTTTTAAAAATATTAAATGAACAATAATTTTGTATTTTACTTACAAGCACTGGAAGAAGTAAATAGGGAAGCATGTTTTACAAGTTCATTTTAAGGTTTTGTATTTAAATAATATTCAGCCAAGTAACTATAGCTGCCAAGAGAATGTAGGGGATTAAAAAATATATTTGCCTCTGAAATGTAGCAAAGTAAAACTATATAATGCATACAATATAAACAACACAATTTAGTAATGTATTAGTACATACTGTATACCATGAAGTTATTTTTTTAAACTAAAGGTTTCAATATTTCAGATGTGTGTGTAATTTAGATGCACTCTTGTCCTTCGGAGAATAATCAATGTACTTAGGCAGAGTTCAGAATATATGTACATTTTGTTTTTACCTTTCGAGACCAAAGCGCATACTGTACCAGTGCTCATCAATAATGGGTCTTTTATTTGAGGCCATTCTCATCACTCCATTGATTCTCTAATTGTAATCACATCCATACAGTGCATTTGGAACATTTTGAGTCATTTCAGGTTTTTTCACATTGAACATATATGTCCTTAGATTGTCTCACAGCTGACAATTAATAATAAAGAGCCATGAGGAGGAAGGAACTTCCTGATGAGCCCAGAGACAGGATTGTGTCAAGGTTCAGCACCAGGGAATATTCTTAGCATCAAAATCCTTAGACAAAGGTAACTCAGTTTATTTACAATACATTCATTTTCTACAGCACGTTTGTGTTTCCTCGCTAAAGCATCAAACTAGTATATCAGATATGTCAAATTCATTCATTCACAAAATACAAACAGGGGTTCTTAGCTTCAACATGACAGAGTTCAAAGTCCACATGTACAAAATGGTAAAAAAAAATTATACCAACTTAAGAGGACAATCAATTAAATTTGTAGCAACTATGCACTCAATGTGAAACAGATTTTTTCAAAGAAATGCAGCTGCAAAAAGAAATATGAGTAATACATGAAGGAAAAATGAGCAAAAATGAACTCAACAAAACTTGATAACATTGTTGCTCATGTACAACATGCAACTGAGATGCTGTGACCTCTGTGGGAAATGTTCTACATTCAATTACAGAGAAGTATCTGTTGCAAAAGTGTATTTCATTCAGTTGCTGAACCCTCTCAAATAAACTCTCCAGTAAACTGATTCTCAGGTGATTTTTTCAACTGTGTGATTTGAGAAAAAACTTTTCCCACAAGAGCTGCAATTATGAGGCTCTTCACTTTTCATCTTTTCCTGCCGGTGTTTCAGTGATGTGGTTTCTCTCCAATTTAAATTCTTCTCATGTGGACTGTCAATGCACCGCCAAGTCTGAACACTCTCCCACATGTCGTAGTAAAAGTAAATATAAGTTTGTATGTGATTGTATATTTCAAGTATGTTACTTCTAATCTATATGAATTCTTAGGTGCCTTCACAAGTATATTCTCTGACTGACTTTTCTCTCAGGTGTTGCAGGTGTACGGCTTCTCACCTGTGTGGGTTCTCAAATGACAATTTAATGCTGAAATCTGTTTGAATCTTTTCGCACAGGTGTTACAGGAGTACGGCTTCTCACCTGTATGAGTTCTCATGTGGACTTTCAAAGCACATCTTTGTCTAAAAGCTTTCCCACAAATCTCACAAGGATATGGTTTTTCACCTGTGTGGATCATCATATGGTCTTTCAATAATTTCGGTACATGAAATCTTTTTCCACAGGTCTTGCAAAGGTACGGCTTATCACCTGTATGAGTTCTCATGTGATCTGTCAAGGATCGACTTATTCTAAAAGCTTTCCCACAAATCTCACAAGAATATGGTTTTTCACCTGTGTGGATCATCGTGTGTTGTTTCAATACTGACTCTCTACGAAATCTTTTCCCACAGGTGTTGCAAAGGTACGGCATCTCACCTGTGTGAATTCTCATGTGGATTGTCAACGCACCATTTTGTCTGAAAACTTTCCCACATGTCGCACAAGAGTATGGTTTTTCACCAGTGTGGATCCTTGTATGTTGTTTTAATACTGATTCAGTGCAAAACCTTCTTCCACAGGTCGTGCAAAGGAACGGCCTCTCACCTGTATGAGTTCTCATGTGATCTGTCAATGTATTACTTTTTCTAAAAGCTTTCCCACAAATCTTACAAGAATATGGTTTTTCACCAGTGTGGATCCTTGCATGTTCTTTCAACGCTGACTCTCTGCAAAATCTTTTCCCACAGGTCTTGCAAGGGTACGGCTTCTCACCTGTGTGTTTTCTAAGATGTTCAGTCAGAAGGTATTTGTACTTAAAATCTCTTCCACAGGTGTCACATTTTAAAGACTTTTTACCTGTCTCAGTGTTACCTTGAGAGTAGTGAGAGAGGAGCTGTTGGTCACTGTTTGGTTCTGGTTCACTGTGGTCATATCCCTCATTAGTAGGAGTCAACATCAAGGTATCAGTCTCCTGCTTCAGTACAAGCCGCTCTCCCTCCTGACTGGTGCAGAGTTCCTCCTCTTCCTCTTTAATCTGTGGAGGCTCTGGGTCCTCCTGGTCCTGACTGGAGTTCCTTTCCTGGTCACAGAGCTGCTGGTCAGTGAGAACCTCCTCCTCCTTACAGACATGTTGCTGTGGGAGCTCTGGAGAGACAAAGAGAGACAAGAAATAGATTACTAATTTGATGACAGAAAAACACGTCTGAGCAAACAAATAAAAGTGAGAACCCTTAGCAGGAATCCACTTGCATATGAAAGTGGGATGTTTAAAATGAAGAAGCAACAGCAAGAAACAAACAGAAATCTAACAGGCTGCAACGTGCTGCGATTTCTGGTGATCGATTCTGGAGTCATTGTCCATTTGGACGACCCATTTGTGACAGAGCTTTAACTTCCTGGCCGTTGTCTTGAGATGTTGTTTCAATAATTTTCCTATCTCATGATGCCATCTGTTTTGTGATGTGCACCAGTCCCTGATGCGGCCACACCCGTCCCTCATGATTGGAATGGCGTTTTTCACCTTTTTATCTCCAAACATACGATCGTCATTATGTCAGAACAGTCCAAATTTTGTTTCATCTGACCACAGGACATTTCTCCAGAAAGTAAGATCTTTGTCCCCATGTGCAGATGTAAACTGTAGTCTGTTTTTTTTTTTTAAGGTGGCTTTGGATCAGTGGCTTCATCCTTGCTGAACAGCTTTTCAGGTTATGCTGACATAGGACTCAATTTACTGTGGATACGGGAAGGGTTGTGCTGATGGACAATGATACCAATGATCATCAGAACGATCGTGCAATCCTCGATACTAATACTTTTGTACTTGATTCCTCCAGCATCTTCACAAGTCCTTTGCTGTTGTTCTGGGATAGATTTGCATTTTTCACAGAAAAGTAGGTTCATCTCTAGGAGACAGACCACGTCTCCTTCCTGAGGGGTCTGACACCTGCATGGTCCCATGGTGTTTATATTTGCGTACTCTTGTTTGTACAGGTGAATGTGGAACCCTCAGGTGTTTGGAAATTGCTCCCAAGGACGAACCAGAACGGTGGAGGTCTACAATTTTTGCTGCAGTCTTGACTGATTTCTTTTGATTTTCCCATGATGTCAAGAGGTACTGAGTTTGAAGGTAGCCATCTGCTTAGTATTTTATTACTAATAAGTAAAGTAAGTATTTTGAAATACTTCCACAGGTACAACTCCAATAACCTCAGTTAGAAATTTCTAAAGCCATGGCATCATTTTCTGGGAATTTCCAAGCAGTTCAAAGGCACAGTCAGTGTAGAGTATGTAAACTTCTGACTCACTGGAACTGTGATATAGTGAATTAAAAGAGAAACAATCTGTCTGGAAACAAATTACTCGTATAATTCACAATAAATGACCTTACAGACTTGCTAAAAGTATAGTTTGCTAACATGAAATCTGTGGAGTGGTTAGAGAATGACTTTAATGACTTCAACCGAAGTGTATGTAAACGTCTGACTTCAACTGTATGACAAAGTGGGATAAGAAGGCAGGAGAATAACTGAGATATGTCTATGTACAGGAGAAAGACCTCATCGTAAATGTGAGGTCATTTCCATCTGATACCAAGTCATACTGTAATGAGTTACATGATGCCATAAATCAATCTGCGATCACTCTTATAACTGGTCACAATTAAACAACACACCGGTGTTCTGTGTATCAGATAAACGGCTGAACATCCCTATATGTAAGAACAAAGCATCATTTGCTCCTGTTTGTTCAATAGATTACAAATAGGATCCAGTATGAGTCATGTCCCTGTGTTAGTTTTCATTCAGACCACTCTGGTTTCACAGACCTGTCCTGTGTAGCTTTATTTCTGGTTGCCAAACGATATCCAGCATTCTGCGCTGCCGATCGATCTCTTCCTCGTACTCGACGATAGATTTTTCTAAGACTCCGAATATTTCTTCAGCAGCAGCAGTTAGTTGCTCGTTGACAAACTCTCTCAGATACGGAACTGAAGACATTGTTGCTTAGTTACCACTGAAATATTTATCTGCGATACGACTACACCGTCATCTTCAAGCTAACTCCACACATCCATACAGCTAACGCTGCTGGCGCTTTCATTGTTTACTTCCGCTGGGTGTCACACCCTGACGTTCCGGCAGGGGACGTGAGCTTTTGTTTCCGCCTTCAGTGATGATGGTACATCCGTGTCGCTTCACCTAACAGGGAAAAATATTATTTTCTCTCTAGTACCACATTTAACAGATATCTTTTTTTTGTGGGGCTATTTTGCAAAACACTACACTGGTATTAAAACAGTAAAACAGTATGGGTGGAAGAAGTTAACACCGCGAATTAACACAGTGTGTTCCTTTTTCATGGAATACTTTGAGTAAAGTTGAATTTAAAGAATGAAAAATTAAATAAATCATATACAATGGCCTCTGTGTTTCTGAGGCCATGAAAATCAAAGTTATACATACCAACTGATGGATGGTTTCAGAAGCAATGTTTTATATGCTCAGGAGAAGTTTTTTAATTCAAATTATTATTCAGCAAAGTTAATACAGATGTCAAGTAAATGTAGCAGATTGAAAAATATTTGGCTGTTCTTTGTAGTAAAGTAGAAGTATATATAACATAAAATAAACTTGGTCAAAGTAAATATACTTCAAAATTGATTTTATCTTCAATATTTCATATCTGTGTGTAATTTAGACTCAGTCTGCGACTGAGAACAATCCATGTACTTAGGAAAAGTACTTGAGTAGACGTAACCAATGACATTCAACCTCTGTAAATATACAATATGAGACACCTCCTGTGATCAAACCACCAATGTGTATCACATCATACTTTAACCTCACTTCCAGCAGTTGAGGTACATCACTAAAACACCTGTTGTGTGTATGTTACAATTGAACACTGAAAAAACTCTTCTTCACTATGATTACTTTCACTCTGGATGTCGGTGACGCCTAGCTGGAGCTTTGATGAACAGTTTCAATGTGAATCTGGTATTCTTACACTGTCACCTTACAAAGCATTATTGTTCAAATAAATACTTGAGACCTTTAGTCACTGATCATTGTATGCATTACTACCACTTAGACTGATGACACTCATAGTTACTGTAATCATTTACTCATTGATGTTCAGTTTGAATAACCAGAATTGAAAGAAAGTTTTATTAACATTATTTGACAATACAAAAACAAAATTTATCTATAAAGCAACTTAAAAACAAACATGCATTTTATCTTCTACAACTTGTGTTTGAGTCTCACCTCTATCACATACAAAAATTATATCAAGTTGATTCAAGTAAAGAATATAAAAAATATAAATGATACAGAACAGAAGAAAACTCCAAATGACCCAAGACTACTAAAGGGTTTCTCAGCTTCATCATCAGAATTCACAATCTCTTATGATAACTAAGGTGGAGTATTGAAAATAGTGAAAAATCAATATCAATTTAAGAGGTCAATCATTTAAATTTGTAGAAACTATGTGCTCACTGAGATTTTTCAGAGATTTGAGAGATTACACTTTCTTCAAAGAAATACTGCTGCAAGGTGGAAGGAACTTCCTGATGTGCCCAGAGACAGGATTGTGTCAAGGTTCAGCACCAGGGAATATTCTTAGCATCAAAATCCTTAGACAAAAGTAACTCAGTTTATTTTAAATAAATAAATTTTCTACAGCACATTTGTGTGTCCTCGCTAAAACACCAAACTACCACCAAAATACATACAGAGGTTCTTAGCTTCAAAATGACAGAGTTCAAAGTCCACGTGTACAAAATGGTTAAAAAAAATAAATAAAAAAATTTACTTAAGAGGCCAATCAACTACATGTGTCGCAACTATGCACTCAATGTGGAACAGATTTTTTCAAAGAAATGCAGCTGCAAACAGAAATATGAGTAATACATGAAGGAAAAATTAGCAAAAATGAACTCAACAAAACTTGAAAACATTGTTGTCCCATATGTTCTCTATGTATATGACTTTTAATCTTTGTGAATTCTTACATGGCTTTGCAAGTGTGTTGACCGAGAGAATGTTTTCCCACAAGTCTTGCAAGAGAACGGCTTCTCACCTGTGTGGATTCTCATGTGGACTGTCAAGTCACCCTTCTGTCTGAAAGCTTTCCTACAAGTTTCACAAGAATATGGTTTTTCACCTGTGTGGATCAACATATGTTTTTTCAGATTTGACAAGGTAAAGCATCCTTTTGCACATGTTTTGCAGGGATATGGTCTTTCTTCTGTGTGGAGTTTAGCATGATGAATCAGTGTTGGCACACTCTGAAAACTTTTCCCACAGGTCTTGCAGGAGTACGGCTTCTCACCTGTGTGGATTCTCGTGTGGACCTTCAAGTCACCACTTAATCTGAAAGCTTTCCCACAAGTCCCACAAGAATAGGGCTTTTCACCTGTGTGGATCCTCAAATGATCATTCAAACTTGCTTTCAGACGGAAACTTTTGCCACAAGTGTTACAAAGGTACGGCTTCTCTCCTGTGTGGATTCTCACATGGACCTTCAAGTCACCACTTAATCTGAAAGCTTTCCCACAAGTCCCACAAGAATAGGGCTTTTCACCTGTGTGGATCCTCAAATGATCATTCAAACTTGCTTTCAGACGGAAACTTTTGCCACAAGTGTTACAAAGGTACGGCTTCTCTCCTGTGTGGATTCTCACATGGACCTTCAAGTCACCACTTAATCTGAAAGCTTTCCCACAAGTCCCACAAGAATAGGGCTTTTCACCTGTGTGGATCCTCAAATGATCATTCAAACTTGCTTTCAGACGGAAACTTTTGCCACAAGTGTTACAAAGGTACGGCTTCTCTCCTGTGTGGATTCTCACATGGACCTTCAAGTCACCACTTAATCTGAAAGCTTTCCCACAAGTCCCACAAGAATAGGGCTTTTCACCTGTGTGGATCCTCAAATGATCATTCAAACTTGCTTTCAGACGGAAACCTTTGCCACAGGTGTTACAAAGGTACGGCTTCTCACCTGTGTGGATTCCCATGTGGACCAACAAGTTTTTATGAGATCTTACATCCTTCCCACATGTTTTATAAGAAAATGGCTTTTCACCTGCGTGGGTCCTCAAATGAGCATTCAAACTTGTTTTCAGATGGAAACTTTTGCTACATCTTTTACAAGAATATGACTTGACAGCTGTGTGGAGTCTTTCATGACTTATCATCGATGATTTATGACTGAATCTTTTCTCACAGGTGTTGCAGGTGTACGGCTTCTCACCAGTGTGGCTTCTCAGATGTATTTTCAATTTGGACTTAAATTTAAATTCTCTTCCACAAGTGTCACATTTTAAAGACTTTTTACCTCTCTCAGTGTTAAAGTGTCTCTTTGTTGTGGGAGAGTTGTGTACATTGTCACTGTGACTTGTGTTTTTTTGACATCTCTTCTTTGGTTGTGTCTCTGCATTTCTAGTTGATTCTGGGTCTACATGCTTGCTTCTTTCCTGATCTTGGCTCTCAGCTCCAGGAAAGTTGCGAGAGAGGAGCTGGTGGTCACTGTTTGGTTCTGGTTCACTGTGGTACCTTTCCTCATTAGTAGGAGTCAACATAAAGGTATCAGTCTCCTTCTTCAGTACAAGCTGCTCTCCCTCCTGACTGGAGCAGAGTTCCTCCTCTTCCTCTTTAATCTGTGGAGGATCTGGGTCCTCCTGGTCCAGACTGGAGTTCCTCTCCTGGTCACAGAGCTGCTGGTCAGTGAGAACCTCCTCCTCCTGACAGACATGTTGCTGTGGGAGCTCTGGAGGGACAAAGGGACATGAGAAATAGGTTACTGATGTGATGATGGAAAAATGGTGATGCTTCTGATCTGGCAGTTAAAGGAAACTTAAGTTACAATACTGACTACCAATTCTGACTAATGTTTTTTGCACCTCATGTTGTTGTGAAAGAAAGTTTGACATTGTACTTGAAGCTTTTAAGAAATGTGAAAACCTACATTCAAGACCTCTTTTTCTCCATCCAGATAATAAATCTAGAATTGGTATTCATCAATACAGAATGTGTGGTGATACTGAGCGCACTTTTTGACCATGCAAACACATGGTATTTTAGAGCAAGCCAAGTTAAGATACAGTGAAGTGAAAATGCAAAATAAGGCGAGACACAGAATTTAACATAAAACAAAATAGCCAACTTCACGGAGCTTGCATTCAATTTCTTCATTACACATTTTGCTGTTTAAAAAATATTAGAGAATTCAGAAACAAAAATAATTGAGTTTGTGTGCTCAATATTTCCGCATTGTTTAATGTCTTTGATATTTATTGTGAGGCATTCTGTAAACTGTTTTGATGCCATTTTAATATTTACAAATCACAATTTCAGACACCTGTCTGGTAGCCTAATTAAGATGTCTCTAGTAACAGTTGGACTGATTGTACCATGGTAAACTGACACATTCCCATTTGTAATCTGACCAGAAATTTGTGAAATTGCGCATCTTCCCTGTCTAAAATCAGTATTGTAGTTTATGTTTCCTTTAGTCAAGCATATAAAACAAGTTAAACCATTAGGATCCTATATGAGTCATATTTCTGTGTTAGTTTTCATTCAGACCATTCTGGTTTCACAGACCTGTCCTGTGTAGCTTTATTTCAGGTTTCCAAATGATATCCAGCAGTCTGCGCTGACGATCAATGTCTTCTTTGTACTCAATGACAGACAAACAGTGTCTCTTTGCTGTGGGAGAGTTGTGTACATCGTCACTGTGACTTGTGTTTTTGTGATGTCTCTTCTTTGGTTGTGTCTCTACATTTCCTGTTGATTCTGGGTCTACATGCTTGCTTCCTTCCTGATCTTGGCTCTCAGCTACAGGAGAGTTGTGAGAGAGGAGCTGTTGGTCACTTTCCTCATTAGTAGGAGTCAACATAAAGGTCTCAGTCTCCTGCTTCAGTACAAGCTGCTCTCCCTCCTGACTGGTGCAGAGTTCCTCCTCTTCCTCTTTAATCTGTGGAGGCTCTGGGTCCTCCTGGTCCAGACTGGAGTTCCTCTCCTGGTCACAGAGCTGCTGGTCAGTGAGAACCTCCTCCTCCTTACAGACATGTTGCTGTGGGAGCTCTGGAGGGACAAAGGGACGTGACAAATAGGTTACTTATATGATAGAAAAACTCAGGTCTTGGTTTGGTCTTATTTTAGCCAAAGACAACTCACACGGAACACACTTAAAATATCTCAAAAGGATAAGAATATACAAATACAGTAGAGACAGTGCAAAACAAACCACAAGCAGCACACAAAGCAAACAAAGTGCTGTGAGTAAAACTGAAGCAGGAAACAGGATAAAAACACTACAAGTTAAAAGAAGTTATTTCACAGTGGTCCTGACCAGCTCCCAATCACAACAACAACAAAGACTGCTGCGTCTCTGCTGCACTACTGCCCAAAAACCTCATCTTTCCATGTCAAAACACATATCTGTGTCATCAACTAACGTCTGGTCGATTATTACCGGGCAGCCATTGACTGAAGCCTGTTTGAAAAGTGACGCATTAAAGCAAGATGCATTAATTTCCTTTGTTTGGTCTTTGTTTCACAATTCTTCTATAATCTTTTAGTTCAGTCAGTTTCCCCTGTGTCTTATACAACCTGTTTGTTTGATGCTGAATGTTTACTGATTAAAAATAGAGACTCAGTCATGTTATTTCTTTATTTAACATAAGTGCCCCAAAGTTTTTCCTTCATGTGACACAGTGAAAACTCAAAATTAAATGAAAGTAGAGCTCTGATCAGGATCCAGTATGAGTCATGTCCCTGTGTTAGTTTTCATTCAGACCATTCTGGTTTCACAGACCTGTCCTGTGTAGCTTTATTTCGGGTTTCCAAACGATATCCAGCAGTCTGCGCTGACGATCGATCTCTTCCTCGTACTCGACGATAGTTTTTTCAAAGACTCCGAATATTTCTTCAGCAGCAGCAGTTAGTCGCTCGTTGACAAACTCTCTCAGATACTGAACTGAAGACATTGTTGCTTAGTTACCACTGAAATATTTATCTGCGATACGACTCGTCTTCAAGCTAACTCCACACATTCATACAGCTAACGCTGCTGGCGCTTTCATTGTTTACTTCCGCTGGGTGTCACACTGTGAAGTTCCGACAGTGGACGTGAATTAGCTTTTATATCTACCCTCAGGTATGAATCACAGGGTAATTCGGTTATTTTCTCTGTAATACCACATTTAACTGAGATCTAGTCCGTAAAAAAAAAAAAAAACACACACACACACACATATATATATATTTAACACTTTTAAGCAGGGGTGGAAGAAGTTAACAGAGGAAAGTAAAAGTAGAAATGACTGAAGTGTAAAAATGCAAACTAAAACAATACTTTTACCGTGACATACCTAGAGTACTTGAGTAAATGTACTCAGTCACATTGAACCTCTTTAAATATGTTTGTTCAACATGACACACTTCCATTGATCAAACTCCCAAACAATATCATATCATACTTTCACAACACCTATTGCATGTTATAACTGAGCTCTGAAAAGAACTCTTCTTCACTATGACTACTGTCACTCTGGATGTCAGTCACTTCTATCTGCAGCCTTGAAAAACAGTTTTCTCGCAATTACAGACGGAGTGTGAATGTATTCTTAAATTAACAGCTTATAAAGCTTTATTGTTAGAATAAATACATGAGATCAAAAAAACAGCATTTCCTTGCCAGGGTTTCTTCAGGCACTGATCACTGTATGCATTACTCCCACTTAGGCTGATAACACTCAATACACACAATAGTTACTGTAATAATTCGATCATAAACGTGGGGACATTGTTCTTAATAACCAGCTCTGAAGAAATGCTGTAAGTATTATATTTCTCTGACACAAGCAAGTCTGTTTATTTATATAGCACCTTTTACAAAGCCATGTAGTTCATTTTCTACAACTTCTTTGTGTGTCACCTCTAAAGCCGGAAAAAATAAAACTTCTACCAAGGCAGCATCAGCTGTTCTTAGTTTATAGTTGATTAGAATGCTCTAGAACAGGGTAGAAAATACCAGGACCATTTTGAATGGTATAGAACTTATAAAACATGTAAATATAGTTGAAATATATCATTAAATATATCTGTAACACAGTGGCTTTTGATATTTGTTTTAAAATCTCTTTTTCAAGAGTGACCTGGCTAAGAGAGCAGCATATACATTGCTACACAAATAACCACAAACAACACTAAGACCGAGACAACTATCACACACCACAAATGAGTGAGCACAACATCAAGTTGATATGCCACACAAGGTCAAGGACAAAAATCCAGTTATGCATAAATAGGTACAATTTCAGGTCTTTCTGTAGATAATTCCAGGAAGAGGGTGGCAGCATATGTAAAAGCTTTTTTGCCTGATTCTGTTGTAACTCTGAGGACTAACATCTGTAAAATACTGTGAGAGCATGGGTCATATTGATTTAGGTTTTTTCCCCATTTATGTACAGAGATAAGAAGGAACCAGCCCAAGGAGAGATTTTTATATAAAAGCAAACTGATGGGAAAATCTGCATATATATAGAGATGGCCATTTAGTGTCAGTATACAGAGAACAGTATTGTATGAGATTTTCACAGCCAGTAATAAAATGTAAAGCACATACAGTATCCAACTTCTCTAGGCACTGGTCAGGTGCGTTCATAAAGAGCAGATCACCATAATTGAAAAGGGTAAAAAAAACAAAAAACAAGTTATTCCTAAAAAAATAAACTTAATTCAAGTTTCATCTTAGAAACAAGATTTTCAATGCATGACTTATTAATAACAACACTTTAATACTTACTGAACAACATCAAAGACAGACTGCGGGAATTCAAGGGTTTGTACTCCTGAAGGGGCTGAGCAAATGTATTCACATATGCAATGGAACTCTGAACTCTTCTAGACGTTACCTGGAGAAGCTGTATGTGTGAACGTGAATGTCTGAATCAGTTGACCCAGAATAATGTCTGCCAGCTCCCAAGTATAAAGTCTGTGTGAAGCCAGATTGAGCCGGTGTGTGAACAGAACAAGTCATTGTCTAGAGAATTCACGGAGAGTGGCGTAAATGGGTGTGTTGATCGTTTCTGTCCTGCCTCCTGCATGCTCCACCCAGGCGACAACCCTTGCCTAAAACAAACGGACTACTTTCAGTAGGTGTGAAAGTGTCACTGCAATTATGTGTCTCTTCACTTCTGTGGGTTCTTGTCTGTTTTGTCCACTATCACTACAACTGGATCTTCCCACATATTTAACAAACCCAAGGCTAGTTGCCTGTATGTGATCTTATTTGCCTTCCCAACGGAGACACGTTGAAGTGCTGCAGTGATATGGTTTCTCTTCAGTGTGGGCTCTTTTGATGTAGACTGTCAGTTCTCCACTAAGTCCATATGTTCAGTAAATATACAACTGTTAATCTCTGTGAACTCTTATGTGCTTTTTCAAGTCTGATATCCGACTAAAACTTTTCCCACAGGTTTCGCAGGGGTACGGCTTCTCACCTGTGTGGATTTTCAAATGCACATTTAGTGATGATCCCTGACTGAATTTTTTCCCACAGGTATTGCAGGTGTACGGCTTCTCACCTGTGTGAGTTCTCATGTGGACTTTCAAGACACTACTGCATAAAAAACTTGTCCCGCATATTTTGCAAGAATATGGCTTCACACCTGTGTGGATTCTCATGTGCCATTTTAATAATGAGATTCTACAGAATCTTTTCCCGCAGGTCTTGCAATGGTACGGCTTCTCACCTGTGTGGATACTCATGTGAAGTTTCAAGACACTATTACGCCTGAAAGCTCTACCACATATTTTACAAGAATATGGTTTCTCACCTGTGTGAGTTCTCATGTGGACCAACAAGTCACTACTACACCTGAAACCTTTTCCACAAGTGTTGCAAACGTACGGCCTCTCACCTGTGTGGGTTCTCATGTGAAGTGACAAACCTGTACTAGTTCTGAAACCTTTCCCACAGGTTTTGCAAGGATATGGCTTCTCATTAGTGTGGATTCTTAAATGAACATTTAATGTTGATATCTGACTGAATCTCTTCCCACAGGTGTTGCAGGAGTACGGCTTCTCACCTGTGTGGGTTCTTAGATGTACGTTCAATTGGGACTTATACTTAAACGTTTTTCCACAAGTGTCACATTTTAAAGACTTTTCACCTCTCTTAGTGTTACACTGACTCTTTGTTGTGGGACTGATGTATAGACTGTCACTGTGACGTCTCTTCTTTGGCTGTGTTTCTACAATTCTAGTTGGTTCAGGGTCTACATCCTTGCTTTCTTCCTGATCTTGGCTCTCAGCTAAAGGAGAGTAGTAAGAGAGGAGCTGGTGGTCACTGTTTGCTTCTGCTTCACTTTGTTCACTTTCCTCATTAGTAGGAGTCAACATAAAGGTATCAGTCTCCTGCTTCAGTACAAGCTGCTCTCCATCCTCACTTGTCCAGAGTTCCTCCTCTTCCTCCTTAATCTGTGGAGGCTCTTGATCCTCCTGGTCCAGACTGGAGTTCCTCTCCTGGTCCCAGAGCTGCTGGTCAGTGAGAACCTCCTTCTCCTTACAGACATGTTGCTGTGGGAGCTCTGGAGGGACAAAGGGACACAAGAAACAGGGTACTAAATGTGATGATGGAAAAACAGACAACTGAGCAAACAAATACAAGTTTACACCATTACCTTGGATACTGAAACTTGGTATGAAACGGGCCCCATGCCCATATTATTAAGTTAGCAAGGTACGTTAGTTAAATGTCGGCAATTTGGCAACACTGTTACACTGGAAAGTCCCACCAGTAAAAAGGCAACGTGTGCAGTATGTACGTTTTGATTTGAAGAGGTGGCTCTAGTGTTAAGACAACTATTGTTTTATTATGAAAGAAAGATTCTATGGCATTACTATATTTGTTCATGTTTTACAATGCATGTTTAACCTGAGCAATACAACAATAACAATCACATCATATAGACACAGGGTTAATGGTATATAGTTGGTTAAAATTTTTTTAGCTCATTGGTATCTGATCAGGAAAAATGGTATCAGAACAACATCATCATAAATTATTATTATTATTATTATTATTATTACTATTATTATTATCATAATAATAATAATAATAATAATAATAATAATGAAATAATAATAATTGGTGCTGCTCATTGCTGATGTTATTATTAATAATACTATTACACCTATGAGTATCACTATTATTACCATTTTACAAACCAGTCTGACAGTGCTCAAGTGCCTAATGGCTAACCCTAACCCTAACCAACTACCTCCACTGTTCCAAACCAGCGCCCTAACCCCAACTGAAGGGAAACATTATCTGAAGGGGAAACAAACTTCGACACAAGACTTAATTTGATGACAGACCAAGTAGAAACGTTGATGTCTTATTACAGACCTGTCCTGTGTAGCTTTATTTCGGGTTTCCAAACGATATCCAGCAGTCTGCGCTGACGATCGATCTCTTCCTCGTACTCGACGATAGTTTTTTCAAAGACTCCGAATATTTCTTCAGCAGCAGCAGTTAGTCGCTCGTTGACAAACTCTCTCAGATACTGAACTGAAGACATTGTTGCTTAGTTACCACTGAAATATTTATCTGCGATACAACTACACCGTCGTCTTCAAGCTAACTCTAATACAGTTAACGTTGCTAGCGCTGTCATTGTTTACTTCCGCTGTGTGTCACACTGTCAAGTTCCGACAGTGGAAGTGCGCTAACTTGTCTTTCCGCCTTCAGTTATGATTGTATCTGTGCTGCCTTATTTTACAGGGAAATTACCCTTATTTCCTCTGAACTAGTTTTGAGTTGGGTTTTTTTTGTTAGGACAGATCTTAATACATTTCTACAAGTTACTTTCGACCAAGTAATTTCATTGGAGGGGAGTCATCTATCAGTTCTGGGACTTTTAACTACATGTATCACTACGCTTTATGGATATTCTATTAACCGGTTAATCGATATCAGATTGTAACAAACTTTGCAAAGATGAAAATATTTCCAGAAATAACCTTTGATTAAATGATGTCTGGTCGTTAGAAGAGGGTGAAGGGAAGAAGCCTGGATACTTCAGTGCACACCAGTTGCGCTCACATGACATTGTCTGGTCTGGAAAATATTTTTGTGTTGCTTAGCAACAGTCCAGTACCAGTCCAGTTGCAGAACTATTTGTCTTGGCGTAAACAAATCCTAATCTGTTGCTGCTCATTACTGTTAACTAATATGGCACTCATAGAACTGAAGAGGTTTACTGTACAGTAACATCTGGAAGAAACGGGTCTGAAATGACTCATTAGCTGCATTTCAATATTGAATCTTTTTGAAAGACTTCCAACAAGATTGAGACAGATACTGCTGCAGCCGTTCATATGCACACTTCACTAAATTTAGCTCATTCCACTTTGCAAAGAATCTCAACATGCAGAGACTTTACTTCGACAGGGTTGGGGTAAATATATTTGAAACAATTATCACAATATCAATAAGCATACTGTGCATTATTCACATGCATCATGTTGTGGCAAATGTATGCAAAATCACACATAAAATAATTGGTGATATCCAAAGCATTGAACTGTCTTTCACTGTTTTCAAATGTGAACAAGTTATTTGTGTCAAACTAAAACGTCTACAATAATTTAAAGACCAAGGTCCTGTTCTTCAAGTGAGCAGCTCACAGTTTCTCTCTCTTTAAATTAGTTTTGTATTTCATCATGTATGAGCATAGGTAATTAAATTGTCATAAATAAATCAACAGGTCATAATGGTTTCTGAGTAACCTGTAGGTAACATCTAAAATCACAAGCACATCAATGTTGTTTCATTATATCTACACAAGGTTTAGGTTTAAGGAGTCGGACACAAAAGATAATTTTAAAAAATGCTTCAGAGTTTTTGCTCTCTAATCACTAAGTGTCGCTCATTGTGGAAGTGTTGGGTTTCTCTCTATAATATTGTAAGGTCTTGAGGAGAAACAGAAACAGAAATAAAATAAAATTGAACTGAATGTGATTTTTCTGAAATTTTATAATTTCCCAAATCAAAACACACTCATACATTCATAAACACTGTGGTGACTTCAGAAAATGGACAACAGTTATAAAATGTTTTTGTCTCAAACAGACAAACAGAAAAATCTGTTAGTGACGACAAAATACAAAAACAAGTGAAGGAAGTGATTTTATTGTTGCGGTTGAAAATTCATCACACATGCAAACAGCGATGTCGAAGCCGTGTATCATCAATATTTTATTAGCAAACCAGAGAGAAATTAACAAAAAAAAAGAGCTGAAGGAACTGAACAATCTGTGTTTCTATAGTTTCTGTACAGGTCCAAATATTCTACAATATATACTATTATACAACTGGATTACATTTCATGTCATTAGTACAGCAGTCACAAAGAAAAACTTCAAGTCTGTTACAGCAGCGTCGTCTGAGCAAACTTCTCTTCTTTCTGATTTGTTCCGCCGACCGGTTTCCTCTCTGACTGACAGATGTTCAGCTAATGTGAATCTGCTACGCTAACATTCCCTCTTCTTCTCCAACAAAGTGCTAAGTCTTACATTTGTTCGCCTCAACAGCAAAAATAAACCTCAGAGCAATGAAAAACAGAAGGATTGTGAATCACATGTTGAGACTGAGATTGAGAATTTTTTTTTTTTTTGCCAAAAACCAGAAAACGAAATAGGTCAAGGAGATTTTGAAAGTCAAACATGAGGATTTAAGTTTAAATAAATGGAGTTTGATTGAGGTAAAACTGACACAGGTAAAAGTAAAACAGAAAGAACCTCAGTGTAAAACAAAGTGATTTTAAGGCCTGACGATCGGTTGCTCCATCAACACCATGTCATTTCAAGAACATGCAGATGTGGAAAAACCTTTTGTTGGCAACAAAAGTGTAAACTGACTTTCAGTCTCGCCATTTTAAAGGAACAGTTCATTCACTTTCTTGCTGAGGATTAGATGTTCAGATTGATACCACTCTCATGTCTCTTTAGCACAGAACAACTTAGTTTAGCATGAAGTCTACAGTTTGGCAGAAATCCCCCCCCACCCCGTAAATTCACAACTTGTCCCAATTAAACAAACAAGATGTTGCTGCTAATTCCTGAGCTCAACCAGACAATCGAAGTCTCCAGCCAGCGTATTTCCCAACATGTCAGACTATTCCTTTAAACAAGTTTTAGGGTTCAGGCCTCTGGACGCTGAACGTCGCTGTGGTTCACGTGACGCCCTGCTCTGGATCGAGACCGAGACATGATCAAGTGTGGAGGGAAAAACAACAAACTACGCTGTAAGAAAAAATGCAGAGATCTTTATGAGCATCTAATCACAACCTCAGAAGGTACCTGAGGAATCATGGCCTCCTCATGAATCACACAACACTGATTTCCAAAGCAGCAGCTCTAAAACTGTCCGGCCTCTTATTACGTCCTCATTTTAAAATGTTGGACTTTTACTTTGATGAATCGTAGATATAAAGCTGCTATTTCTTGTCGTTTCTAGTGGTGCTGAATTGAAACAACTTTAACCGTCCAATTGCCTCCCAGAAACATGCAACACTGTTTCTGCTTTATTAAATTTAGGAAAGTAAGAACAATTCCAGCCCAAAAGAGCCAACCTGGGCTTGAACTGTTGCACTTTTCCTAATGTAATAAAATGCACAGTTTGCAGAGATCAGAATTCAAATCATCACAACACTGAAGTTGTGTAGTAAAACCAAAGTGTATTAATGAGGGCAAAACGCTCTCATGCTGCTGCCCTGCAAGTAGCAACAAGCTTTTTTTTTTTTTTTTTTTTTTTTACAGGAAAAGTGAAATACATGAAGTTTCTACATCTCTGAACACCTGAGGAAACATACACTACGTTTCAGCCAGTTGTGAAAGTGAAACCACTTCATGAACCTGCTGCTCTAACAGCCTCCACTCTCCTGGCTTCAGTCTTTCCTCCAGATGTTGAACCTGCTGCAGAGATTTTACTCCCATTCAGACACCAGAGCCTCAGTGAGGTCCAGCACTGCCGCTGGGGATCAGGTCTGGCTCACAGTCAGTGTGCTGGTTGGATGACACTGAGGTCACGGGGGCATTGTCGTGTTGTAACAGCATCAATTTATTCTCTAAAATTTTATTGTGTGCTGCAGAAATGAAGATTTCACTTCACTGGAACTAAAACACCCAAACCAGGAGAAACAGACCAAAAACAAACAGCTTCATGAGAAGAGATGTGAAAAATGTCTAAAATCTGAATAAAAACTCAAAATGAGAAGAGGCACAAACGGAGGGAAGCCGTTTTAAAACTGATGTTTCATGAGGAGAACATGAGAACCTTTCAAACTGTGATCAGACGCTCATGAAGACATCTGCAACTGTTTGTTTGTTCGCTCGTCTCGTTGCAGAGATGAACGTTTTCTGTGGAGGATATGGAATCATAGGAGTGCCAAAAAAAGAATAAATCTATAAAAAAAAAAATGAAAATAAATGTGGAAATAAAAGCAGGGATAAATAAAAGAATAAATAAGTCAATAAAAAAGGTGGAAATATAAAGAGAAATAAATAAAAGACAAAAAAATGCTTTTCACTTGTTGCCTTTGCTTTGCCTTGAAGCTTTATTTATTTGTTTATATTGCCACATTTTATTATTTTTATTTTATTATTATTTATTTTAATTCATTTCTTATGTATTTACTATATTTATTTATATTATCTACAATTATTTATTTACTCCTGTTTCCACATTTATTTTCTTATTCTGTTTAATTTTTTTTTATGGCACTCCTATGACTCCATACTTTGGCTGCAGAACTTTAGAGAAAATAAAATAAAATACAACAAAAAAGTAAAAATAATCTGTTTTCAATGCTACCAGAACAGGAGACGTTTCCTGTGGAAATTTAACACACTACCCTCTGCAGTAGTGCCGCCCAGTGGTGAGTCAATTAGCAGTTTATGAGGGATCATTCATCATCATTTTAATACAACAAACCTGGAATAAATCCTAATCCTAAAACTCCATCCTCCAGAATGAGCATACAGCTGGATCCGTCATGGAGCAGGATTTACTGCAGATCTGTTGGCTTCAGCTTCAGCATCAGCTTCAACGTCACCTTCAGCTTCAGCGTCACCTTCAGCTTCAGCATCAGCATCAGCGTCACCTTCAGCTTCAGCGTCACCTTCAGCTTCAGCGTCCCCTTCAGCTTCAGCGACGTCACCTTCAGCTTCAACGTCACCTTCAGCTTCAGCGTCAGCGTCAGCGTCAGCGTCAGCATCAGCATCAGCGTCAGCTGGTGGATCTCATAAACTCCAAACTGAGAGCATTGTTTTTTTGGAAGTCCGGTAAAGATTTTGCATAGGACAGAAACACAAAGGCCTGTGGGGGAGTTTCCTTTACCAAATATCAGATCCAAAAACAGTTTTTTTGAACTGGACTGAAAACTTGAACCTGGTTTATCTTTGGTCGTATTCTGCTTTTTAAAATGGGAGGTTTCAAACATAAAGCAACGACTGAGCCAGTGAACGGTCATATGACACCTCCTCTGCTCCACCTCCTGTTCACTTTTGTTCAAGCCCGCATGAGGGACTTTGATACGCATGGAGATTAATGTTTTTATTCTAGGGTTTTTTTGTCAACATATTTAGCACAACAACAAACTGACTTACAGTTTGTGATCGCTCTGATCGTCATGACCATGACATCACTTCCTGTTTCAAGGCTGAAAGCAGGGTGGGGGAGGGGCAACGTGACCATACATTAAGAGCAAAGAAAAAGAAAATAAGTCCTACTTCATCATCACCATGATCATCATCATCATCATCATCATCATCATCATCAGCCCCCTGCCTACCTTTAAATGTTTTACTTACATTTAAAGGTAAAAATGTTACTTTTGTAAAAACAGTCAAATAAATGATGGGTTGTCTTTCATTAAGGAAATCATCAGCACTTTGATATTTGGGTATTTAGTAAACCAGGAGTTTAATGACTAATTAGTCGACAAATTTTTTTGCTTAACGATGTGAAGCGCTGCATTCATCAGCTTTAAGAGAGTTTCTCCACACGAGGAGGCCGTTAACTCATTATCAGACCAGTTCAACACACCTGCAAGACCTTTACAGACCTTAAGTCACTTCTGCTCAGCAACCTTTCACTGTAAAACATATTTTCTTCCAAATTCTTATAGTTTGTTTCCTAAAAAAAATGCTTTATTTTGACAAAATGCTGAGCTGTTTAAATTTAAAGACAGGCGCTGCAAGTTGAAAATAGTGCCACATGCAGGTAAGGAGGATGTCTCTCAGAGCGTTTGTGGTTTTTACACAATCAACAGGAACGTCACTGTGTCACACTGACCACAGGATATTAAATACTCTAATTTAAGCACATTTCAGCTTATGGCTGTGACCTGTATGAATTGGGCTTCAAAATGAAGATTTTCCAGGCACTTGACCATCAGACAAATGTTGATCATATTAATTATCTGTCATCTGAGTCTACTGCTCTACTAATACACATTATGGATTTTAATAAAACCAAAGTTTACAGCTCTAGTATTCAGAGTAAGAAATCAAACTAAGTCAAGCTACATTAATCATTTCTGTTTGGCATCTGTGTAACAAACTAGAGTCTGACCTGCTGTCTTTTTAAGGCTAACTCTGATTATGACATATCGGCCAGTATTCCTTTTCCAAGCATAAAAACAAATCACTAACAAATATTTTTCATAAGAAGAAAATTTAAATTTGGTTATAAAAGGGCTGTGGCCATACAATGTAATTTAAAGGTTATTTTAAAGTGTAAAAATAAACTTGTCAATGCGTTGTTACTTATCGGCCGATCAATCTGTGGATAGTGGACACGTGACGTTACGCCGTGTGGAGCAGAAACAAAAACAACATTTTACAGGCTTAAAATGTGAAAAATAAAACGGAAAAAAAACACAGTGAGACTTTTTACCTGCAGGTGGCACACGTGTCAAAACTGCAGCAGCTGTCACTGGCCTGTAGGTGGCGCAGGTTGGTCTGAAGCTGGATTAAATGTTGAATTTAAATTGTGACCATGGAGGGGGGGGGGCAAAACTTTATGCGAAGGCATCAGACAGTCGAGCGAACACAGATCCAGAGTTCTCCCTGCGGCCCTCGGACAGACGGACGGTGGAAAAGCAGATTTCGGTGATGAAGGCGTTGATGCGTACAGAGGCTGGTGCACGTCTCGGAGCGTGCACGTTGATGGAAGCATGTTTGCAGGACGTTACGCCGCCGGCGACCAGCAGCTCTCCTCCCTGGTGGCAGATTAAGACTCAGAGGACTTTTCTATCTACAGGAACGCGTCTCACACACGAGTCCGAGTAGTTTCTCCTCCTCGGATTTCGCTGGGTGTTTATAGCGAGAGGGTGAGACGTCTGCAGGGCGAGAGGTACAAGTCTGTCACCAAACTAGAGACTCTGCGATATATTGTAAGACAGTCGTTTATGATACATCATCAACTAAAAAAAAACGTATCATGAAAGGAAAAATAATTTCTGTTAAACGCAGGAATCAATCACAAGCTGTGATGAGGGGCTGTGTACCAAAGTGCATAGAGTTTAAACACACACAGCAACAGCTTCAGTACTGCAACAGAACTGTGGTAGTGGTGTGAGCGCATCAATGATGTATCGCAGACAGTGTGTCACAATATATCGCCTTGTCGGTAAATGTCCCGCCCCGAGTGTGCGGCGAGGCGAGGACGGTCGGCCCGCTCTGGAGTCATGCAGTAAAGACAACGAAACACGATGAAGACCAAAAGCTTTAGGATCCGACCTGAGGCGTTACGACCCACAGATGCTGGCCAGGCGGGTGAGGGCGGGGCGGGGGGCGGTGCTGGGGGTCTGGAGTGATCAGGAGTGATCCATGGGTTCAGTGGTGTTGCTCTGCCCGGCGTCCTGGCTCTCCATCTCCTCCAGCTCCTCTGCCTTCCCCTCTGGTTTGTCAGCTGACGAGACGCCTGCTGCAGCTGGAGGTTCGTGGCTCGGTGTGGATGTTGATTGGCCCGCGCCTGTCTTAGTCCCGCCTGTCCGCTCCTGGCTGGCCCCGCCCCCTGCGGCGGCGGCAGCGGCGCTCTGCTGCTCTCTCAGGTGGCGTTCCATGGAAGCCTGGATGGAGGAGACCATCTCCTGCAGCTTCCTCCGCTGCTGCTCCATCAGGCTGGGGTCCAGACCACGACCGTCCTTCATGGTGACAAAGCCGGGCGCCATGCGAACCAGCTCCCTGGTGGTGTCCTCGGGGATGTCCGACAGGTCCGGGGGGCCTCTGGACACGCTGGCGCTCAGGTCCACGCCGCTGCTGTGCTGGCGCGTGATAGGCCTGTGCTCCGGAGGGGAGGAGCCACCGGCACTGCCCAGAGAGTGACCTTTACCCTGGAAGGCGGTGACGCTCTGCAGCTGCTCCTTCTTACGGACGACGCCACCGCTACCCAGCCGCAGCACGCCATGTGAAGGGCTCCCCTCTCTGCTGCCCCTTGTGGCTGCCTCTGAACGCAGCTGCACCAGCGCCTCCTTCACCAGCTCCTCCACATCTGGGCCCACAGGAAAGTGACCTGCGGTGTCGACACAGAGCTCCAGACGCTCCTCTGCTGCGTTATAAACAAACGTTTTCCCCGTCAGGTGAGGCAGCGTGCAGTGTTTCCCGTCCATCAGGCCTGAAGGAGAGGAAGAGGAAATATTACAATATTTAACAAAGCTGCTGGTTTTCATTTTTTATTTACTGGTGCCAATACAAACCCTTTATACTCTGAAACGTAGTTTATTATTTTTTTAAACTGAATAAAAGGGTCAGAAGACCTTTTAGTTACTGAAGTTACAGAATGAAATGATCAAAATCTTGATTTAAATATCAGATCAACCAAAGACGAAGAGTCAACCAAAGTCTTAAAGCTCCTCCAGTGTAAAGGTCTGTGTCCATGTGTAGTGTGATTATAGATCAGCTCTAGCTTCTATATTAATACTGTGAAAGTATCAAAGCCTCAGTCCACAGAGAAATGCACACAGCCTGTATTCAGAAACTGAGCCTTGTTTGTAAGTAAACTGTTTAAAAGTGGTTTCTTTTTATTGTTAAATCCTTATTTAACAAAACATCAAAGATGACTTCACTTCGATTTGGACTCTCAGTTTCATTATGAGCTCTGCAGTTAATGCTTCCACGAATTACAGTACCAAAGTCTAACCAGCAGATGTCACCATTTGACAGTTCATTGTTTCCGAAGCTTCATTTCCCCCATCGCTACGTTCAATACTTGACCATTTTATATAATAATTCATAATAATTACATAATTAATTACATACTTCAGCCAGTACGGAAGAGAAACCAGAAAACCTGATGTGTTTTCACGCACTGCTGTAATCTGATTACTCCTGGTTGGTGATGACATGTTATTTAGGAACCATCACCCACTATTTTAATGTATTTTCTTCATTAAGGTGTCGTTATGAAGAAAACACACTACAATAAGCTCTGTACTGGGAGAGCACTTCCTGGTCTACCTGGTTGTGTATCTTAATGCATATTTAAAAGCATTTAAATGTTCACTCTGATCTCTGTTTATATAAACACATGACTGTATGTATGGAAAGTTGTATTTGCTATCAGTATTTCTTTTTGTTATTTCTTTTATTTTCAGGTCTCACTTGTAAATGACATTTTGATCTCAATGTGACTTCCTGAGTAAATAAAGTTCATATATATATTTGCCAGTCGATGAACTGTTCAGTTGTGGAACAGACTTCTTGAGTTAGATTATTTTGAATTCGAGGATGCATCTCTGCACGTAACGATACGTCCTTTAATCACAGCAACACCTTCCCCTGTCTGAAGTCTTTGTCCTGCACATGTTATGTATGAGATATTCTCACCAGGTTTCTCTCATCTTCTACTCTGATTTCAGAAACATGGTTTCTGGTTTCCATAACATATAAATACAAAAGAATAAACTGATTGGTTGACTGTATCCTGGTTATTTAAGTGCATGTAAACACACTGCATGAAACCTACCCATGTCTTTCTTGACGATGTTGTAGAAGACGCCGCCCTGCTGGAATAAGTGCGGCAGCTTCTTTGCGTACGACCAAACATCCTCACCTGGAACAGAGAGAAACAACAGTTCACACAAGTTAACGAGGATTTAACGTCACACCACGAGGTTAAAACGAGTCAGTGTTTGCAGATTACTCCGCATGTAGCTGTAACAATGCAGATTCAACCCACAGTAAGACTCCTGTTTTCGCAGACCTTTGTGTTTTGGGTTAGAAAATTGTTATTTTGACAGTATCATCAAGTTCAACAGCACAGCCTCAGCTAATTATACATGTCACTCAGTCATGGCTAACTGCAAAGCACAGATTCGATGTCTGTATGTCTGTAGCTCAGACCACTGAGGAGTTACGACGATCTAAAGACAGCATGATATTCAGCCTGTCGCATGTTACTGCCACAAAACAATAAACACAATTTGAGCCCATCTGACAGAGACGTAAGAGCTGACTTTCAAAGCATATTAAAATAAAATCAATCCGACAGCTGCCTGATCGCTGTCTGAAAGGACAAGCTCCTCTCCTCCAGTCTGGGGCTTGTTTTTGCAGTTTGCTCTGTCAGTTAGGAGAATATTTTACTGCTCAGCTTCATCTGGTGGTGCAGCAGCAACATGAGCGGTCACACATGCAGACAAAATTAAAATAAACAGTATCTAATAACAGTATCTAAACCGCTGGTTTGAAAGCCAACTGAATTGCAAGCACACACAGACTGAGTCTCTGTTCCTGTCTCGACGGGTAACAGAAAGAACGATGCGCTCTTCTACAAAACCACCTCTGCAGAACAACAAGTCTTTTTTAAACAATGACCTCGTCTCTACTTATAGGTTTGATTTTATATGTTTAAGTGAAAGCCCCGCCAAACTTTCTCTTTATACGAGACAGGTGGCGCTGTTGTTGCCATATGTAAAAACCCATTTCAATATGTCAAGAAATTTTGATGACAGTTTCACTGAGCTGCTGTCTTTTATCTTAGACTGGCTCCCAAATCACTAAAACTCCAGCTGCTAAAACAGATTATACATCAGTCAGTTCCCACCAAGTGATCTGATTGGACGAGATTCACTCCATGAGACTGATATAGAGCACAACAGCACTGGGACTTTTAACTCCATGTATCACTGCTCTTCACAGCTGTTCTATTACCTGTTCATCAGCGTCACATTAACGTCGTTATCGATCTCAGACTGTAACAAACAAAGATGAAAATATTTCAGAAATAAGGTTTGAATGAAACGATGTTCGGTCGTCAGGAGGATGGAGGAAGAAGCCTGGACACTTCAGAAACACCTGAGGGAACGTGGAGATAAAGTAGCAATAGTGTCACTGTGCAGGTCAGGACAATGTTTATGTTGCTTAGCAACAGTCCAGATGCAGAACTGCTTGTGTTGGTGTAACCAAATTTGACGACTAAATGCGGACGTCAAAGTAGACGTTTTGGACCAGTCCATGTTCCCTCTATCGCCCTAAATCATACATGACAGTAACGGTGGTTATCACAGCTATGCAGATGACACTCAGATTCACCTTTATTTCACCAAATGAAGGAGCCCCTTACACTCACTCTATCAGTGCTTACAGCAAGCAAAAAGATGGATGTAATTACATTTACTTCAATTAATTTAAGACAAGACAGAAATCACTGTGTCTGGAAACAAGAAGAAAAGAATAAAAGTTAATGCTCAGCTTGATTCCAGGATTATAAAGACAAAAACCCAAAAGTTTTGGTGTTTCAAGTGACTCAGATCTGAGCTTCAGCAGCCACGTCAAGGAAGAAGCGAAAGCATTTTATCATTAAAGACAGGATTAGGAGTCTCAGGTCCAGACTGGATTGAGAGAAGCTCTTCATGCTCAGCAGGGTGGACCATCTCTAACGGCCTCTCCACCGGTCTGACCCCGGAGAACTGAGCACATCACTCCTGCACTTTAATCTTTACACCTACAGAATAGAACAGAAGTGCTGCTTCTAGTTTATAAATCACTTAATAAAATGGGAGAAAAAACACAATTCTATAAACTCATTAGGGCTCTTAGATCTTCAGACCTGGAGTCAGAACCAGACGAGCTGCTTTCAGCCGTGACGCTGCTCTTTTATTTCCTTTGTTACACTCGAGCCAACTCACAACGCATTACTGCCCTGTACCTGTATTTCTGGTCTACTATTTGCCGACTCCATGAATACAGTCGGCAAATGTTTTGACTTTTTGCTTGAAGAAAAATGACTAAAGCAGCTGCTGATTAATTGTCTCCAGATGGACTAATTGATGAATTGACTAATTGTTTCAACTGATTTCTAGGAATGAAAAATTCATAGACCTGCTTATTTTATCAAACAAGAATCCTTGGAACAGCATCAGTATTGTGCTCACTGATGCAATGATTCATTATTTAATTGCATGTGAGTGACTGTGCATTTTCTCTTTTTGGCAATGACACGTTTCATAAGTGTCACAGATACTTTTTGATTTCTAAAGTCAACATCAGGGGAGTCATAACTCATCAGACAGCAAAGGAAAGGAGTAAAGAAAGGACCTCGGATCAAGTATTATATATGTCTTCTATCTAAACATGATGATACTCCGTATAACGTCTCAGTGTGAAGACTCTGAGCTCCACGTTAGAAACAGACTGATGAGCGGATGTTTTGGAGGATTATTGAATATGAGCTCTTGCTAACAGGAAATGCAGCGTCAGGCCTGCAGAGCGTTCAGAGTGCAGATGAATCCTTCCTGAATATCGACAGACGCTCTCTGTCACACTGCCTGCTGGCCTGCTGATCTGTTTATCTGAATGCAGCCGCGACCTTTGACCCCCCTGGCAGGTGAGATGCCTGAGTCAGCACAATTACAGCACACACACACACACACACACACACTTTTTCTGGTAGGATTCAGGGCAGCTGATCAGAAACAGACACCGTGGCGGGCGTCACCTGCAACATGTGCGCTACATCAGCTGCTCTGTGGAAACCTGCAGGTGTGTTATTCACCTGCCTGCTGTGAGCAATCAGGAAGCAGCGTGCACCTGTGCTGCACATCCTGGACCCGAGTGAAACGACAACAGTTTCCTCTGAGCATCACCGCCGCTCACAGGTGACTGAGGAGTAACCCGCTCTGAGTGCGGCGAACGCTGCCTCTCAGCTGCATTTAATAACGTGCGGCAGCGCGAGCACATTCAACGTCAGCGCAGAGACACAGACAGACACAAACTCTTTCCAGATGTTGTAAACTGAGGTGAAGACACATCTGCTCGAGCTCAGATGTACCAAGTTGTCTATATATATATATATATATATATATACACATACATATACATATATATATAGTTATATACATAACTCATATGTTGAAGTCCAGCTGCAGGTGCATGTAAAATAAAGGAACATTCTGAGTAAAGGAATTACAGAGGTTTGTAACATGAAATTGATCTTTTGCTGAAACTATTAGTTAAATAACAAATTGTTTGATTGCAATTTGATCAATTAGTGATTTATGAAGTAAAATTATATTTACATTTTAAATTTTTTTTTTTACCCAAAGTTCAAATATGATCTGCTTTTCTGTGTTTCCTATCAGCTGAGTGAATCATTAGACTGTGTCTCACAGTTAAATAATCAATAGATTGATCACTCGGGGGAGGGGGGGGGGCGGAGGGGGGCGGCGCTCAGGGGAGGTGGCCTACATGTCACACTCCTCTGTACTCTTACCCATCAAGGTTGCTAGGAGACAGAGGGAGGACATCTCAAGGTCGATGCTGTCCTGGAGTTCCCGGCTGCTCATCCTGCCGGACGTCACGGCGTCCTCGCTCTTCACCGAGTGCAGGGCGGAGTGCGAGCTGGAGGCTCGAGGGATGGAGGCCGCGGGGCTCTTGTCCTCAGGGCCCTTCAGGATCTCCACCGTTACCCTGTCACCGTGCTGCAGCGCCACGGGCTCGTTCTCCTCGCTGTCCTTTGGGGGGGCCAGCTCTTTGGGCGGGAAGCCGTAGCGGATGCACTGCTGCGCCGGCGGCACGCCAAATTGGTTGGCAATGCTCCTCTGCAGCTCTGAGAAGGTGGTGTGGGCCTGCAGGGTCAGCATGGCCTGCCTGCCATCACTGGTGGTCACACGGATCTTCTTCTCCTTATAGGACGAGGAGGGGGAGGAGGATTTGGTGGGCGTGGCCGGAGCAGAAGAGGAGGAAGTTTCTGGAGACCCGCTAGGGGAGGACGCCCGGCCGTGTCCTTTCTGCTCCTGCTTCAGCTTGTCAGTCCGTCGCTTCTGACTGACGAAGGCCTGCTCGCTGATGCTCTGCTGGATGCTGCGCTCTGCCCGGCTCATCGTCAGCTCCTCTTTGTGGAGCGTCTTTGCTTTCTGACCAGTCAGGATGATCTTGGTGGGTGGCTGGGGGTCCGCCACCTGATGAGTGTCTGTGGTGTCGGTGAGACGCTGGACGTGAGCCCCGTCGATGGACACCGGGTTGTACTCGTCCGGGTTCTTCTTGGCGGTGTGATGCAGGATGGTGTTGACCACTTTCTGCACCAGGATCTCGCTGCCAAACTCCCCCGGGAAGTGCTTGGTGACCAGTTTCATAGCCACATCATACACATTGCTGTTCAACGCTGTGTCAGTCTCATACTGGAACCAGTACACAGTCTCTCGCACCACCCGACCCCCCCACTCCAGTGTGATGGGGAAGGCCTCGGGGAGGTTGTCATATTCCTTCCCCTCCCAGTAATGCTTGAAGCCACATCCACATTTCCCCCCCTGGGAGCGGGTGTTGGTTCTGTCCCCGTCCAGGTAAACCACCGACCCGTTGCCGCGGATGTGACGGACCGACGTCCCGTGACACCAGCTGCAAGTGTTGAGGGAGCTCAGTTTGTAGTCTGGGATGAGGACGTCTCTCTGGGGGTCATAAGAGCAGACCACATTATTGAGGGGGAAGCTGTAATTCTTGTCCGGCCGCAGCTGGCCGTGCGTGGACTTGGCCAAGTTGTAGAGCTTCCCACCAGGAACCAGCCACTCCGGCGGCACGTGGAGCTCAGAGAGGGCGCCACAGATCAGGCAGCGGTGAAGCCGGTTCTCCATCATCGACTTCTTGGCTGCCTCAGTCACCTCCTCGGGCTGGATGCCGATCACGCCGGTCCGCCTGTAGACATACTGGTGCACGTCAGCCACCAGTGAGGGGTGGATGTTGTGCTTCTCCATGAACACCTCCTCCATGGCGTTGACCAGCCTCATCAGATATTTATCCTGCAGGCTGCGGTCGCCTCCGATCACGCAGCTCCCGTCCGGTTCCAGCTTGATGTACTTCCTGATGAGCTCCTGAGGGACGCCCCAAGCCTTCGGCAGCAGGCGGGCCGGGAGCTTGGGCAGCACCGTGTTCTTGATTCCCACCAGAGGGATGTAGTGGTTCCTGCCGGAGCTGCTCCAGGCGATGCAGATGGGTTTGTTGAGCTTCCCGTCTTTCCCCCGGCACTGCTCCTCGGCCACCAGCCCGGGCAGGAAGGTGGCCGAGTAATCCCCGGAGCTCCTCATCCCGCTCAGGGAGTCCAACAGGATTATGGGTCGGTGGAGGACGTTGGCCAAACCAAATATGTGGATGTTGCGCAGTCCAAGCGGCACGCCTTCAGGTGGGATGAACAGGGGGTCGCACTCGTTGATGATGTCCTCCCACTCTGCGGCGTCAATGAAATCCTGGAACAGGGCCTTGTAGCGGTCCAGGTTCTGCTTGAAGTTCTGTTTGAGGTTCTCTCTCAGGGCATGCCAGAACAGTTCTCTGCCCACCAGTGCTCTGGACACGGCGTGGACCAGGCAGTGACCGTCTCCATCCACGTGGACCGGAATGAGACACTCTCTGTTACCGTTGGCTTTCTTAACCTCCTCCAGAGTGTCATGCAGGTATATGAGGCTCCCTGACCGGTCCTTACCGTAACCCATGGTGGACACATGGTCCGGCTCAATCAGGAAAGCTCTGTCCCCCAGGAGCGAGCAGTCAAACATCTCCCCTTGGTTCATTTCCCTCAGCAGCTTGGCTTTGCCGGTTTGTTTATCCATGCCGTACCTGGTGAGCACCGGGGACAGGAGCTTGCAGTGGTAATTAGAAAGCCCCATTACCTTCACCAGCTCCGTCCCTTTCTTCGGGGCCCCGGTGACGCCGAGCAGGGCGTTTCTGAGCAGATTGTGCAGCACAACATCTGGATCCGTCACTTCTTCGACGTTGAGCAGGTTCTTCTGTTCGTGGCGTTGACCACACTCGGTGCACTCGATGCTAACGGAGCCGTGAGCGGGGAAGAACAGCCTCGCCTGACATTTCGGGTCTGGGCAGGTACCAGACAAAATACGCTTGTCTTTTTTCTTTGAGCTCTGTAGCAGCGACATTTCGGGTGGAAGAAAAAGCTGAAACTGTGTGTCAGCTTCACAAAACCATGATAATCACACTCCGGCGAGACCGTCAGACGAGCCGGGACCCCGCTAACGACAGTTATTAACCAAAATAACACAAGAACAACACGGAAGCGGCTGTTTTTTTCTTGAGCGACTGACCGTTGCTAAACGTGACACGCAATGACGCCAGATTGTGGGAGTTGTAGTCCCGCTGCGTAACTACGTTTGAATATTTACACACGATAATATGAATGACTGTATTTTCTCTTTTTTTTGTGCCAATTTCATTCTGTAATTTGGGAAAATATATTTACTCAAACCCGTGTCTAATGTTGAATGATTTTAATTGATAACATCAAAGTTCATTTGACTACATTTACCAGAATGCAACACGTCGCAACGACGTTTTGTTGTGTCAGGAAGTGAATAAGGAAGAATAATGCAGTTCAGGGCAGAATGGACGGATTAGAGTTTATGAATTTGGCCCCAAAATGTATTAAAATCATTTTCTGCTTTATATGCTTTTACAGTTTTGTGGTGCAGTGTAGTTCGGACAATTCGGGGCATAAATCTAGTTGAGATAGATGTTAACGGCACTGCATAACAACAGCAACCTGAGTTTGCGGGTTAGCTTAGCTGCTAGCTGACTAAAACCATAATTAAAGCCAAATACTGAACATGCATATAGATAATCAATTGTTACATACAAACAGGGTTTGCTAACCTCTCGACATCCAGCGACGTTGTTAAAAATAAACGTTACCCGGCTTGAGTCTGGACTTTGAGAGAAAGCTTCGGTCGACGAGCTCCATTCAGAAATGTGTTGATTTAATGATTCTTTGCTTGTCGGGTAATTAAGACAAGTCAAAAGGATTTATATCAATGTTGAGCGACTTTCGATCAATACGTAATTCATTTGAGCGATTCAGTTGCACGTTATTTAGGTCAGATTTAGTGGAAAACTGGATCACACAGCCTGCTGCTGCCACCTGGTGTGGTTTGGTTTCAGATGATTAACAGGATAAAAACAAGGGAAATACTAACGGTGGTCTGGATGCGCGACCAAATGGAGACACACGCAGTAGACACCACAGAACAGGAATGTGTTCCAGTCATACTAGAATAAATATTTGTAGTATTTGGAAAAACAACAGAAATTAATCAGTTTGATGCTTCATTGTACACTGGACTATAAATCAAGGGCCCTAAGCCTATACCTTACATTCACCTCAGTGACTTGATCAGTACAACATCAATTGATCGATCAAGTTGCACTTTGTCTCAGAGAGATTTTGGGGAAATCTGGTTCACGCAGCCTGCTGCTGCCATCTGGTGTGATTTGGCGTCAGGTGATTGGGAGAATAATTAACAAGTCACCGTATTAGGATGTGAAGCCATGAAGACAGAAAGATAGATGTTTTGAATGGAGTCTGGTTTGTGAATATATCAAAATGGATTCCTTGCTTAGGTCTGTTAAATATAGTGAATAACGGTGGCAGAATTAAAAATACATAAGAATACCACCCAAAACAACTGGTGTGAACTTGAACAAAACCAAATACAGATACAGAGATCAGGACTGTTGAGGTAATGTCAGTACAAATATTTGCAGCATTAGTTGGACTTATTGTCCAATACCATTCACACTGTAACTAGGGTCATGCAAGTGCATTTTATTTATCATAAATGGACAGAGGAATCTACATCTTCATATTTGTCTAATTTATGTTATTATGTCATTTTATTTTATTTTTTTATGATTTGTTTTTATTTATTGTTTTAATTGTCTTTCTTCCATTGTTGCTCGTGTCTGAGAGTTAACAAACATAATTTTGTTGTATGCCCACAGTGAATAAAAACAACAATAATAGAGGTATTTTGGGTATTTTATTCAGTGGACATCTTCTATTTCTAACAGCAGGTAGTATTTGTAGTGGACTTTTAGCCTGTAGCATGACAATTATAATACCTGCGGTTTTTCTTCTGTCCAGTCAAAGTGCTTCACAGGATTGGCGTAAAATAAAATGAACAATCTGGATGTAAAAGAAGTAGAGGCAGTGGTGATATGTTGTAGCAGTAGCTGTATTTGTAATAATAGAATTCACTACATTGTATTAAATGCAGTAGAAATAGTATTTGAACTAATTTTTCGAAGTAGTAGCAGCAATGACTCTAAGTATTAGTTACTTGTTTTGTTTCAGCATGTGTCACTGTGTTATTTTTGCATCTCAATAAAAGAAGAGGCAAGAGCATCATCACGTCGTTATGGCAACCACCATCAGCATCATCTGGATCTCCCTGCACTTCTTCTAACTAACCACAGGGTGGCGGTCTTCCTCTCTGATTAATTTTAGATTTCAGCACCAGTAGCAAACAGAGACCCACAGGAACACCTTATTTCTCTATATCGTTTATTTAAACAGGGAACAGTATTGATTTTCACGTTATACCATCACCAAAATATTCTGATTGTACACTGGATTTAAACAGTTTTATTCTACAGAAAATATACAAAAAAAAAATCTGATTGGACTAAAATGACTTACACTGTGCAAATAATGTCATAAAACAACTGTCAATGTGATCTGTTTTCACTACAGACATTTCGACATGTCACAGGTGTAAATAATAAAAAGAAATTAGGCTGAATTCCATTTAGCTTCTTCAGGTTCAGGGTCCATTGTTAATGTCACACCTGTGCTTCTCTACTGTCACAAGTCAAAATGTCTGCAGCGAAAAAAGGCCTTCGGTCAAAGTCTGCCTCATCTGTGGGCCGCAGGGGCTGATGGGAGGTTTGAGGAGGCGTCAGAAACCACGTGGCCCTCGTCTGAGCTCACAGCTCGTCCTTGTTTGGCCTCAGCTGCATCAGAGCTCCACTTCTCCCCAGCTTCACCAGAGGAAACACCACGGCACAAAATGCTTTTCCTCCCAGCTGCTGCTCTGTGCTGTCTGTGTTCAGGTGAGTGTTTCCAGCCAATCAGGAGCCAGCAAACTCAACCTGTGACAAACACTGTCACACTGACCTTCATCTACCTGTCTGTGTCTCTACAGCGCTGGTTGCCATGGCAGCAGTGCCGATTCAGGACCAGTTATCATTGACCAGGAGAGTTGGTGAAACAGTCTCGTTCAGCTGTGGAGGAACTGACCAGTGTGGTAAAAAGCAGGTTTACTGGTACCAGAAGACGGAGACAGACCCACACAGAGTGATTCTACATGTTGACATGTCTGATGGGACGGTTAACTCACGCTACAGTCATCCTCAGAAAGACGATTTCTCAGCTTCAAGAAAAACAGACGGCTGTGAGTTGGTGATCACAAAAGTTCAACTCTCTCATTCAGCCTCCTACTACTGCTCCTGTTATAAGAAAGTTTCCCACAGTGAGAAATGATCCCTGCAGCCTGAACAAAAACCTCCAGATGAACAAACAGTGTTCGTGACAGGAAGAGATCAGTAAACCACAACCCAGGTTCACATATTTCACCTCCAGCTCAGACGGGCGACGAACAAACAAACAAAGGGCAACAATCTGAAACGCTTCCTTTGGCCCCTTCACAGTAAAAGCCTTCCACCAGCTCCATGTTGTTTCTCAGTTTCTCAGATTATTCACTTAAAAGACATTTCAAAAACATATCAAACGCAACAACTCCTCCAACCTAAACAACCATATAGGTCGTTTTTTTCAACCCTCTGATACGACCTGTAGCAGTGTCATGCGTACCGGACTTCTGTTGTCGTGGTTACCATAATAAACACACGACTGTACGGAGAGCGGCGTACCAATGTTGCTGTGGTTACTATAATAACGGTCATGGCTTGGTTAGGTTTAGGAAAAAAAATCATTATTTTGGGTTAAAATAGGCAGTTCCTCAACATCAGACAATCTTTGTTGCCATGGTTACAATAATAACAACGAACGGTCATGGATAATAGAAACGATATAAACAACTAGTTTCACGTGGGACTCGAACGCCGCTTTCCTGTGTCATGTTCATCCATCCACCACAACCTCCTCCTGACGTGGACTTTGTCTCTCTTTATACCATGTCACCAACACTTTTCCCTCTGCTCCTGTCGTAATTTTTACGACCACTAGGTGTCACCTAGCAACAAAACGTAAGTATGGGTCATAATATGCTGCTGCACAGACGACCTGTGGGCTCATTTTTTACAGGACAGTCTCATCAAACAATAACTACCCGTAGCCTTGAAAACTGACAGGAGACGTTTTTCAGTTCTGTCCCTTGAGCAGAAGAAGCTACGATAAGATTAGACACCGTCAAACAAAATATATTTTTAGGTCATCAACAGACGTCTGTCCATCAGAGTAAAGACCACCAGAATTTCTTCATTTGTATTCTTTGTGACTTTGAGCTGCTAAGTTATTGATACGCTTGGTGATCAGTAAATTATTAATACACCTGATGTCTATGCTGCATGTTGACCTGGAGTTTTCAGCTGCAGCGGGAAGCTTTAGTTCTGTGTTTCAAGCTGATGATGATGACTAATAAAACATAGTGTGTGCTGTAAAGTTTCACTGACTCAGCTTTTACTTACAAACATATTTCTACCTATGATGTCCACAGAAAAGACCTGTATGTAACTCAGGGGAACATTTTCTATCTGATGAAGAATTTATTTTCCTAAAGACAAACATTTTCTGATGAGTTAAACAGAGCTGAGAGTTTGGATGCTGTTACTTAGTTGACCATTTTTTTTATTTTTAAAGAAGTCCTAATTTACCCAGAATTCATTGTACCACAGACCGGCTTAAGATAGTCAAGAACTAAATTGCTTTGCGCAACAGATGAATTCAGTCTTTGTGAAACTGGACCTTGAAGTTGTTTCTATATTTTCAGAATTGAAGAAAACATTTGATGATAGTAATGAAACTCATATCTGAACATGAAACTAACTCTTCTGTTTGTTTATCAATAATAATAAACTCAGTGGGTGTTCCACAAGGATCAACATTGGGCCCTCTAATAATTTATCTTATGTATATACAGTATGAATCCTCCTGAATAATATCGCAGCGTAAATATTCTATTCCTCCCACTATCTACCTTCCTCGTCCACCACCGCAGGGGCTGATGGGAGGTTTGAGGAGCTGTCAGAAACCACATGACCCTCGTCTGAGCTCACAGCTCGTCCTTGTTTGGCCTCAGCTGCATCAGAGCTCCACTTCTCCCCAGCTTCACCAGAGGAAACACCACGGCACAAAATGCTTTTCCTCCCAGCTGCTGCTCTGTGCTGTCTGTGTTCAGGTGAGTGTTTCCAGCCAATCAGCAGCCAGCAAACTCAACCTGTGACAAACACTGTCACACTGACCTTCATCTACCTGTCTGTGTCTCTACAGCGCTGGTTGCCATGGCAGCAGAGCTGATTCAGGACCAGTTATCATTGACCAGGAGAGTTGGTGAAACAGTCTCATTCAGCTGTGGAGGAACTGACCAGTGTAAAAATCTTTATGTGTTCTGGTACCAGAAGAAAGAGACAGAAACATTCAATGTGATTCTTCTTATCAACAGGAACACTGGAACAGTTAATTCAGGTTACAATCATCCTCAGAAAGATGATTTTGTAGCTTTTAATGAAAGGAACGGCTGTGAGTTGAAGATAAAGAACGTTCAACTCTCTCATTCAGCCTCGTACTACTGCTCCTGTTATGAGTCTGTTTCCCACAGTGAGAAATGATCCCTTCAGCCTGAACAAAAACCTCCAGATGAACAGATGTCAAACAGTGTTTGTGACAGGAAGAGAGCAGGAAACCACAGCCCAGGTTCACATATTTCACCTCCAGCTCAGTAAACACATTAATATTTAGTTTTCCTCCTTTGACAAAGCTGGTGATGCTTTTTCATCACAGTTGTTCTTTCACAAGGTCACTTTGTCTTTGACAAAACAAGTTTCACTACTTTTATTAAGCTACATCTGAGCACTAGAGGAACACATGATGGAGCTGAACTATGATCCTGGTTCATGATGTGGACTTGTGGACGTCAGCTGACACATTCAGCAGCAGACAGGTTTTTGTATCAGTGTCTTTCACTGTGGGAGCAGCCAACGAAACCAACAGGTATCTCATCTTTGGCTCTGGGACTAAACTGTATGTAACAGGTAAGAATAAACATTTATTTTTCTTCCTTATTGAAGAAGTTGATTTAAATTTACATGTTGGTTTTCAATCATCAGTAGACAAGTAGTGATGTACAAATTCTCACTTTATATCTGAGAACAAATTAGTTGTCATTATCATCTTAAAATGTGACAGTGACAGAATCAGGTCTCTGATATATTCTGTTTCATTCACTCCTGCTCATGAAACTTCAGACTGATTTTCCTTTTGGAGGATTTTCCTGATTTTCCTCCAAAATCTAGAAAATGTAATAATCAGAGTGAATTTCACTGATGAGCAGGATGTCCAGGAGTCTATAGACTTTTTATGAAGCTCTGCATAAAAATATCTCATATGTGACTGCGATAAATTGCTAAACATGACACAATTTGTATTTATGTGTCTGTATTTAATGGTAAATATTTAATATGATAAATAAGTAGAATTTATATAATGTCTATGAAAACTATATAAAACTATTCAACTTGTCGTAAAAGTCAAAGTTAATGTAATTCGGATTTTAACACTTAACAACAAATAATGAAAAAAACTGATCAGTATCGTTATTAGTTTTAAAGAAAGTAAAACAGGAGAAAATCACATTTATACATAAATATATCACATATATAATGAGTTTTTAAATGTTTTATCTGTGTTGTGTGGCGGACAAAATATGAGAGACATCTCTCATTATAAAGCAAAAACCTAAACCACAAACTACGGTCTTTATATATACATATATTTATATATATATGTAGCCTATATGTATATATGTACACAAGTATATAAATATACAACTCTATCGGACAAAAGCTAATTCTTTAAATTGTTTTTTGACTAAAATAATTGGATTAGTAAATGTAAATCCTTTATTATGAGATATGTTAACCGTGACAGAAAATATAAAAGAAAAAAAAGAAAAATATTTAACTATGAAATTGTGTGTATAAATATATATATATATATATGTACATCATACATTATATATCAAGAAGAGTTGTTTTATTTTTATGTAGCAGGTGAATATTGTAAATCTTATTATTTTATGACGTGATGTAATGTATAAATACATTTCATATATATCTATACAGGTATATATAATAATATATATAATAATCTTTATTCACTGTCCCAAACCCACAAAACAAATACAAAACAAAAACAAACTAATAAAAAGAATTACGTCACCTGCAACAGAGCAGTCAATAAAAATCGAGTAAAATTGAGAAAAGCTCTCTGATAAAAGAAGAGATTTAACAGAGGTCACTGATTCTCCTCTGCCCGAGGATCTCAGGCTGCACTGACCATTAGCACAGAGAGCGAGGCCATGAAGAGAGTTAGAAGTCAACATTAACATCGTACAATCATTAAAACAGAGTGGGAGCCAGTGTGAGGCGGCTACAACAGGCCTGATGTGGTCGCTTCACCTGGGCCTTGTTAAGAGATTCCTGGTTGAGGCAGGTGGAGAGGAGAAAACGGTCTCTGTCCATCGTCACTTACATATGCTGTTGTCATCCTTCACATCTTTTCTGTTGACTGTGTGAATGTGTCTGTGCTGCTTGTTGCTGCTGTCAAACTTCAGATGAGCCGGTAGTGAAGCCCGTGGTGAGCGTGTACCCAGCAGCATCCAGAGCCCACCTGGAGGGGAAGAGCTCCCTGCTGTGTCTGGCCTCAGCCATGTCTCCTCCTCTGGTCCAGTTCTCCTGGAAGAGACAGAAGGAGGATGGTTCTCTGGAGGAGCTGACCCGTGATGATGGAGAGCAGCTGGTGCTCACAGAGCCGGGACGCACCGCCGCCATCTTGCTGATCCACCAGCCAGAGAACAGCCCGTATAAATACCGCTGCTACGTCAAGCACGAGGGCGGCACAGTGGAGGCCCAGACACAACAAGGTGATGAAGGCTCGCTGACTGTTGAGCAGTGATTCAGCTTCATGTGAGCACGACTAACTTCTCTTTTAATCCTTTAGTTATCGTGGTCAGAGCTCCTGCTCCTCCTCCGCCTCCGGCCTCTGTCCAGCACTGGTTCAGAGAGCGGCTGCTCTGTCTGCTGTACACAGGGCTCATAGTGAAGAGTCTGGTGTACTGCTGTGGACTCTCTGTGATCAGGATCTTCAGAAACAAGGGGCCGTTCACTCACAGCCGACGTGCTGACTGAGTGTCCTCCGGCAGCTTTAACCTCTCACTGAAGATGAACGGTATCTAACGAGCCCAGTGCAACAGCGACTCACTGATGTGTTTTGAACAGTTTCTGGAGAACAGTGGAGCTCTGAGATTCATCAGGCTGTGATCAGACCTGCTGGTAGAGATAAAATAACACCATTTTTAATCAATGTTTTATAGAAAATTAATGAATTTCTCAGAGATCACACATTATTCTCTTAACAAGTTTTAATAGTAACATCAAATTTTTATATCTGACTGTTTATAACTTCATTAAAACATAATCAGGAGATAACAGACACACAGCAGCTGTCAGGGTTTTTTTTAATATGATGTTTATTTTATATATAATATTGAATATATCTGTCTGTTTCCTCAGTTACTCTTTTTTTATCCTGATATTGTTTTTGCTGTAATGTATTTTTGAAGTGTTTGAACTGTTAAGCGCATATTGTAAAATCTGAAAATAAAGTTCCTTTCTCTTGCTCTGATTAGTTACAGCAGCCATTCAATTATTTTTTATGACTGTTTTTTAAGTCTGTTTTTGTTTTTGTTCAGTAATTGTTTTAGCAGTGGTGGAAGGTAATTAAGTACATTTACACTAAGTACTGAATTTTGAGGTACTTGTACTTTTCTTAAGTACTTCCTTTTCATGCTACTTTATATTTCCACTCCACTTCATTTCAGAGGGAAATATTGTACTTTCTTCTTCACTACATTCATTTGACAGTTTTAGTTAAACAAGCGAGACTTTAACACTTCAGTTCAGTGAAGCACGCTCCTGTTCTGTTTTGACCCCCCTCCCCCCCCCCCCCCCCCCCTTGTCACTGTATAATTCACACTCTGTAACAACACTGAGGTTTAGAGTTTAGTTTAGTTTCAGTCTAGTTTCCTTTACACCTTGTTTGTAAGCTTGACTTCTCTGTTTGTTGAACTGTAACAAACAGGGCAAAAGTAATGAGGACGTCGTCAATATGCATTAGTTATAATTAACTGAACATCATTAACAAAGCAGCTGCTTTAATTCTTAATTCTTCACATGGTGTGAAATGCAAACAGGGACACACTAAAGCTCTTGTCAATGATTCCTTTTCGTGTTGAGCCTTGACAATATTATATTTATAAGAATACCGTTTACTAACAAGCTCATAAACAGATGTTAATGTGGTGTCTATTCTAGACCACACGAAGTTAAACCATTTTTGGACCAGGTTATCAGCTGGTCACCAAAGGTTAGAGATCAGGCTCGAACACGAATGACTTAACCGTTTTACTCTGCACAACCATTAGGTTTCATAAGCTCTGGAAATGTTTCTTTGTTCAAATACTCATCAATGTTCTGGTTGTTTGCAGATTTATATTGAGAAAATGTACTAAAAGTTTTTGAATGATTAGACATTACCAACAGGCGTCAGACCATACAACATTTAAAGGTATGGTGCTTCAGGTATGCTGACTTGTTTGTGGGTCTCTGGGTTCAGTTGAACTTTGTGTGGGTGGAGGGCTGAGTGGAACAAAGTGACACCAACAGACAAACTACAGAGGGGGGCTCATGAGTGTGTACAGCAGCAGATATCAATCTGCTCTCAGTGGTTATTACGTCTCATAAAAAACTGTTGACAGTGAATCAACACTTCCTGCAGCAGATGTCTGCTCTGCAGCCTCCACACCGTTAGCTGTGGCTTTTCACTAACCTAACCCTTGTAAATAATGTCTCATATTTTATCTAGTATAAATTTGAAATGGCTCGTAAATAAAATAAATGTAAACAACAGTGTCATCAGCGTAGAGTTTTACATCCACACTGACACTAAAGTAGTAGATGGCTAATTTTCAAGCTAAATGTTAGATGTTAAAACTCCTTCAATCTATCAAGGTCCCATTTTATTAGCTTCTAACAGTGTTTTCAGTCTTTAGAGCGTTCACATGAGACACATTACAAACTGAAATCTGAACGTGAGAATCAAGAAAATAAAACTGGGATTTTTGACCGAGGTGTTGGTGGACATCATTATTATAATGATAAATAAAGAAAGGGTCCAACACAGACAAATAAAAATGCAAAAAAGTAGAAATATATTTAAAAAAAGGATTTTAATAATAAGAGCCAAAATTTTTTATCTTATATTAAACACAAACATGTAAATGTTATACATACAAATCAACATAAATATCAGATATATTAAGATATTTTCCTGCATATTTTTAGGTATCAATAGGTATTTTGTTTTTGTAAGTGAGTTTATTTTCTATATATTATGTTTTAATAATTTAACCAATTAATTTTCGACTACTAAAACCAAAGGTTTTTCATTTATTCTTTTGGTTTTAATACTGCATTTTATAATTTATATTTTCATTAATTTGTTGTCAATGTTTTAATATTAAATTATCAATTATTTATCATATGAAGCGAGTTTTGCTAATAAATCAAAATAATTCTTAATTCAATTAAAATTACAATTCACACATTAAAACCAAATTAAAACCATGAGAGAGTTTTTAACACTGAGTCACTGACTTCAAATTTGACAATAAAGTCAATTTGTTGTGATTAATCTGAACAACTATCCACAAACCGCAGAGACAAACACATGATGTTGTTGTTGCGTCCATGTTGGTTCACCTCAGCTCTCTTTATTTCAGTAGGTTACAGTTGATCAAAAACAAGCTGTTGTCAGAGAAGTATGTGCATCGCAATCAGGCCAGATGTTAACGAGTTCACCTCATGAATCCACTGACCTCTAAGTTTATTTGTATTATTAAAGGATAAAGCTGTCAGGCCGAGACTCAAAGCAGGACTCAGATGCAGAGAATTTGAATAACAAAAAGGCTTTTATTGAATTCACCGGAGACCTCAGACAGAGTGACAAACAAATGGCTATAAAAAACTAGACACTAAACTCTGAATCCTGAGAAACAAAAACACTCCAGGAGGAGGAAAAAACTCTAATCAAAAGAAACAAATCGATAAACACAAAACGCTCCGAATGGAGGAAAAACCGAAGGACTATGAATCTAATCTATGGAAAGAATTAACAAACAAAAAATCACTCTTAAAGAGGAAAAACAAAGGGCTATGAACTTTACCTATGGAAAAATTTACAAACAAAAAATCACTCTTCTCGAGGTACAAACGGCTTACTTTGGCGACTACTATGGCTGTGGACATGGACAAAGGCTCGGGTGCAGGACAAGGACGATGACACTCTGGCACAAGACAAGGGGAACACAGACTATTTAAACACATGGAGGGAAATAGTTGAACAGGTGGAAACACTTAGGGCAATCAGACTGACACACATGAGGAAGGGCAAGTGACCTGAAACGAGAGGAGAATTACTTTTCAAAATAAAACAGGAAATGACAGGACAAAACAAACCCAAGACAAGACAACCTCACCACGGTGTGACAAAAGCTGGAAGATTAAACTTGTATTTGGGTCACCAAACAATTTAACCTTCAGCTCAAAATGTTGAAACTGCTGTTTGATCATTTTTTTAATAACTGTAGTTTCACAGCAGCTCAATCTGCTGATTGTTGATGTGTGTAAAAGACAGTGTCATCAGCAAAGAGTTTTACATTCACACTGAGACAATTATTGAAGATTATTGAAAAAATACAACACACATTAAAATATCTACCAAACAGCAAATGATTCAGCTGAATTTATTATAATTACACAAGTAACTCTTAAGAGTAGAAATAAAATACAGCATAAAAATACACATTACTAAAAAAATTAGATTTAATAAGTGAAAATATGTGTATATATGTTTTTGTATTTTAAAGCAGACCGTATATAACCTGTGAATAAAAAGATACATTTGACTTAAATTTAAAACAGGGATGAAAGAGATAAATGAGATGAAGTGATGAGATTTGATGGAGAGAAAAGACGAGCAGAAAACAGTCAGTCAGCACGTCTGCAGTTGGTGGACGGTCCCTTGTTTGTGAGGATCATCAGCAGAGAGAGTCCACAGCAGTACACCAGACTCTTCACTATCAGCACTGTGTAGAGCAGACAGAGCAGCTTCACCCTGCACTGAGGCGGGAGAGGATCCAGGGGAACCGCTGCAACTGAAAAGGATGGAAAAAGAAATCAGTCAGTGCTCTGCTGCTCTGCTCTTTGACAGCGTCTCCACATGAAGCTGAATCACTGCTCAACAGTCAGCGAGCCTTCATCACCTTCTTCTGCCAAGTGTTTCTGACAATTCAAATCACTCCAGGATCAAATGGAAAGTCCAACATATAAATAAATATAATATAAATTGAAGTTTGAACTCATTTTCTTTTTGCAGCCACTTGGGGGCAGAAGAACTCCTCAACAAGCTAAATAAACTCATCTCTGACCTTTGACCTCACACAGAGGCATTAGATTGTTTCTTAATATAGAAATATGAATGAGTGGAGCTTTAAGATACAGTCCCTGAAGCTGCTGTAGCTCCCTCAGAGCCCCACATTTAGTACAGAGCCCCAGCAGGTGTGATTAGTCAGAGTGGTGCAGCTCTGTGACGGGGGTTTGTTGTGCTGTTGGACACTCTAACAGAATCAGGGAGTGTATGTTGAAATCCTTCAGTGATGAGCAGAAAGAGAACAGACTGATATGCAGCCCTAACTGCAGCAGAACATTGGAGCTGTCCATGCAGAGAGGCAGCAGGTGATCTTACAGTCATCTTGCTGCAGAGCTGCCAGGTCTGCTGGCTCTCTCTCTGGAGGACAGGGGGCTGCTGGAGCTGGAACCTCTGAAACAGAAAAGGAGTCAAATGTTTGGAGTTGCAGTGAGAAATGTCAGTGCTCTGCTGCTCTGCTCTTTGACAGCGTCTCCACATGAAGCTGAATCACGGCTCAACAGTCAGCGAGCCTTCATCACCTTGTTGTGTCTGGGCCTCCACTGTGCCGCCCTCGTGCTTGACATAGCAGCTGTATTTATACGTGCTGTTCTCTGGCTGGTGGATCAGCAAGATGGCGGCGGTGCGTCCCGGCTCTGTGAGCACCAGCTGCTCTCCATCATCACGGGTCAGCTCCTCCAGAGAACCATCCTCCTTCTGTCTCTTCCAGGAGAACTGGACCAGAGGAGGAGACATGGCTGAGGCCAGACACAGCAGGGAGCTCTTCCCCTCCAGGTGGGCTCTGGATGCTGCTGGGTACACGCTCACCACGGGCTTCACTACCGGCTCATCTGAAGTTTGACAGCAGCAACAAGCAGCACAGACACATTCACACAGTCAACAGCAGCTTCCAGCACTGCACTGCATTCAGTCTGATCCTGGAAACTACATGGACTCTGATCACTACACTACTCATCAATACAGCACAAAGGTCTCCACATACACTGGACTCACCTTCACATAGATTTACTCTGCTGTAGATCATGCTTATATATGATGTATATCATCACAGAAAGATGGAATCACTATTTAAATTCTTTATACTCATATTTCACTTTCATAAATCATCAGCTCAGAATATGTGTCTTCATAATATTATATTAATATTAATGTATAATATATAATATAATATATATTTGTTTTATTTAACAAAAATACATATTTACTATTATCAGAAACAAAATGACAGTTATAAGATGTAAAGTTTTAACTGAATATCTAATGATATAAAATATATTATAGGATTTTATTCCTAATATAAAAACAACAACATTCACCATTATATATTTTAACAATACACAGAATGAAAAATAAAAAAGTGTGCGTGTATTTTTTATTTTCTTATACCTACAATAGTTTAAGGTATAATTTCTGTGTGTATGCACATATAAACATTTTATTCATTGATATTAAATTCTATTTTATATTAGATAAATATATCATATATTGATTATAATCTTATGAGTGAAATATTTACCCTCAGACAATTTTATATAAATGCTTCATTAAAGTAAATAAATGTTTTAGTGGAAGAAATATTTGCAGTCATTTAAATAACAGTTTATCCACCAAACTAATATAATAAAAACAATATAGACTAATTCTCTTCAATTATACTAGATATATTCACACAATCAGACACATTCACCATTATATACAGTGTGGTTCACTTCATTAGATAAACAGTTTTAACTTTATACAGATTATATTCACTGAGAATTAGTGTAATATTTACCATGGAAGTATAGATCTATATATATCATCCAGCATTATATATTATACACACAGAAAATCTATAGGTCAGTCTAGTAATTATATCTAACCGACTTATAATTATTTAACATCATTAAAGTTGTATCATTATTAAATGTAATATTTTACACAATTTATATATTTTCCCTCAACTTGTTTGTTTTCTGTTAAAATGAATATTTCACATAAAATACTTTAATCATCAGACATCAACTGAATTAATTTATTGTATTATCCACCATAAACTTTACAAATATAATTTCCCATGAAGGAAAATCAGGTTTAAAAACATGTGAGTTTGAAGAGTCAGAGTGAATGTGAAGAATCCTGCTCATCACTGAATTTCACTTTGATGAACTCAACATTTTGTAGCAAAAGTCAAGTGAGCAGGAAAATCCTCCACAATCCTTCATGTAGAAGTCAATTGATTTGAGGAGAGAAAAGAAAAGCAGTGTGATGATTGATGAAGCAGCAGCTGATGACGATCCACAATGCTCTTACAATATCAGACTTTTTGGACTCTTCAACAACTTTCTTGTCTCAAGCAGAAATAAAGAATTCCTTCTGCTGTGCAGTGAGACTGAAACATCTTTCCACTAATGTTGAACTTTTTCATTGAACAACGGCTGCATCAGGAACTTTGTACTAACTCTGAACAAACTAACATGTAAAGTGTGAAGCAGCAGAAAGTGACTTCAAACACATTTTACACTTCTTCAATAAAACAAGTGAAGGAAAAGAAATGTTTGTTCTTACCTGTTACATACAGTTTAGTTCCAGAGCCAAAGATGAGGTACCCGTATCCTCCCACAGTGAAAAAGACTGATACAAAAACCTGTCTGCTGCTGAATGTGTCAGCTGAGGTGAAGGAGTCCACATTATGAACCAGGATCATATTTCAGCTCCATCATGTGTTTCTCTAATGTTCATATCAACATGACTGTCTCTTCTTCTCTTTTCTTTGTTCTTCACACTGAAATATCTCAACAAATATTCACATTTCAATCGGTTCAGACGTTCATGTTCCCCTGAGGATCGACTGTAGGAACTTTGGTGATGCTCTGACTTTTCATCTAGCGCCATCATCAGGTCACATTTGAATCTGTCCCATGTTAGCATGCTAACATTTCCTATAACAACCAACATGATGAACTTTGTAGCTGCTGAACTTCAGCCTGTTAGCATTGTCACTGTTAGCATGTTAGCATGTAGCTGAAAGCAGCACTGTGTCTAAGCCCAGCCTCACAGAGCTGCTGCTTGGCTCTAGACTCCTGTTCATCTTTGGCTTGGAGCCTCATCACACTCGTCTTTGTACATGTCATTGCTCCAGTTTTTCTCATGTGATTTAAAGTTTCTTTGTTGTTTCGAGTTTTTCTGTTGGATCTGATTTGATTCATTGAGTTCCTTTGATAGTTTTCTCTTCATCTTGTTTCATTATTGTGCTTCTGTGTTTCTTCTTTGTCCTCACTGTGAGGAACAACAGGAAACCTGCTGAAATATCTGATCAAAATATCAATCAATATCAAAGAAAAGTCAAGAAAAAGTGTGTGAGCTGGAGGTGAAATATGTGAACCTGGGCTGTGGTTTCCTGCTCTCTTCCTGTCACAAACACTGTTTGACATCTGTTCATCTGGAGGTTTTTGTTCAGGCTGCAGGGATCATTTCTCACTGTGGGAAACTTTCCTCCAACAGGCGCAGTAGTAGGAGGCTGAATGAGAGAGTTGAACTTTCTCTATCTTCAACTCACAGCCGTTTGGTTTCTTAACAGCTGTGAAATCATCTTTCTGAGGATGATTGGAACCTGATTCAACTTCACTAGTATTCCTGTTAATAGCAAGAATCGGTGTGAATGTTTCTGTCTCCTTCTTCTGGAACCAGAGTATCCAATCATTGTCACACTGGTCAGTTCCTCCACAGCTGAACGAGACTGTTTCACCAACTCTCCTGGTCAATGATAACTGGTCCTGAATCGGCACTGCTGCCATGGCAACCAGCGCTGTAGAGACACAGACAGGTAGATGAAGGTCAGTGTGACAGTGTTTGTCACAGGTTGAGTTTGCTGGCTCCTGATTGGCTGGAAACACTCACCTGAACACAGACAGCACAGAGCAGCAGCTGGGAGGAAAAGCATTTTGTGCCGTGGTGTTTCCTCTGGTGAAGCTGGGGAGAAGTGGAGCTCTGATGCAGCTGAGGCCAAACAAGGACGAGCTGTGAGCTCAGACGAGGGTCATGTGGTTTCTGACGCCTCCTCAAACCTCCCATCAGCCCCTGCGGCCCACAGATGAGGCGGCTGCTGCTGATTGACGGCTCGGCTGAAGCTGTTGTGTGCTTTTCCTCTGAGTGGGAGCTTTTAAAGGGGAAAGAAAATGACAAACTCTGGTGAGTTTAACAGGGAAAATGATCATTTCATGGCAGCAACATTAAAGTGTAAAAAGCTTCTATGTTTCAGTGACTGGTGGAACTGAGACCTTCAGTCTCCAACATGCTGTTTGTGTTCAGTCTTCAAATGTCTGCTGTTGAAGAAGAAGATGAAGCTCACTGTCAGCCTGCAGAGGGGATTCATTTATTATTTCAGCTCTTTATCTTGTTTTATTCTCATGAATTTAATTTTTATAAATGGTGATTTTTCCCACAATTCTCTGTTTCTCTGAACTGACTGAGTGAAAAGTTTCTTGCTCTTGATTTGAATCTGACAGCAGATGAAAAATCTGGGTCACCATGATGCAGAAACACAACAACACACACACATTCAGGTTGGTGGTGAATTTAGAAACACACACTGTCATCTGTTGTTGAACATCTGTGATGGAAACACAAAAGTCCAAATCCACAGAACTCCTCAGCTGTGATCTTGAAGATTTTAAAATAACGTTTCAGTGAACGTTAAATAAGAAAATAAGCTGCTGTTTGTCTTTATATTTGAATTGAAAAGAACTCAAAGCAACAACAACAACAAATTAAAGTCAAGTTTGTTTTGTGTCAGAGGAATTTAAAATCAACTTCAGTTCATCCTTCAGTCTCTGATGAGCTCCTCTCTGTCGCCTCCTGCTGTCATGAATAAAACTTGTATTCTGCTGCCCTCTGCTGGTTCAGACAACACACTGCTTCAGTTTATTCTTCTCTTCTTCACTTGTATATTTCTTGCAGTTTTATATTGTTTTTTCTTCTGTTCCTGTTTCTGGCTGTTGTAAACATTTTAATCTAAATCACACTGAGTTCACTTTTAATGAAATGTGCTATTTAAAGTGAATCATGTCTTCCTCTGCTGCTGCTGTCGCTGTAATGAATAAAACTTGTATTCTGCTGCCCTCTGGTGGCTGCAGCGACACACTGCTCCACATCAGGTGTACTGTAACACCATGTAGTAGCAGTGATGAAGAAACAGTATTTACTCAAGAAAAAGTCTCAACACCACAAAGTAAAAATACTCCACCACAAGTGAAATCTTGTTTTTGAAACTCTACTTCAGTAAAAGTCAATAAGTTGTCTGAGCTAAATGCACTTAAAGTGTCAAAATAAAAGTTTTTGTGACTGATGGAAACCACACCACAAACCACTGAGCAGCTGATCCAGACTACAAGGACCATATGGATTCACTGGCTGTCCAGATCTCCATCCAGACTAACACACCTGAAGACACATACACCCTGACCATTAAAATACACTGGGCATGTGCGAGCCGGTGTAAACAGGAAGCAGACTGTCTACTCTGCAGCTGGTTGGTTGCAGGAACAGCAAAGACAGTTGTAGCATTAAAATGCAGAATGTAAGTGAACAGCAGCTGTTAGCAAAGACACCAAGGTCAGTAACACTGATTCATTATCATGTTGTATTCACCACTGGTAGTCCAGGCTGATGAGAGCCAATCAGGAGAGACCGTCAGTGTCTGCATCATCAATTCCAACGGCCTTGGTTTCTGTCCGGCCAGACTACAAAGCAACCCTGCAGTTTTTAAACTAAAACGGGTCAAGCTGTGTGGACGCCAGGCGAAAACATAGATAAAGTGATGCATTATAACAGTAGTAGTGTGGATGAAGACATAGTCTCCACAGGATTAAAACAGAGAGACACAAACACGATGACAGAAAAAAGAAAATAAATTCATTACAGCTGTGTGAAACATGCAGTGCTCAGGTGTGGACTGATCCTGTCATCTTCCTCCCTGTGGTCATCCCTGAAAACCAAAGCCTGAAGACACATGTCACAAGGTGACAGGGAGGACTTACTGGGTGCACCAAGATGGCTGCCTCCAGCTGCAACCAATCAGCCGCTTATTGACTCGCCCATTAAAGCAAATGTGTTGCAGGTGTGTTGAGGCAGAGACTATGTGGTGATTGGGCCACAAGCTGACCTTCATGGACATCCGGAAGGAAGCCTTGGCCTTGGAGCTGGACCAGCTGGAGATGGCCGAGCAGCCCACATGTATGGCCACGAGCAGTGCTAGTGCCCCCACCCCTCCACTTGCAGTCCATTGGAAACAGGAACTCCGTGCCGAGATAATGAAAGACGTGCAAGAGCAGATGACTGAGTTTTCCAAGACTCTCTTGGAAGAACTTCGCCGAAGCCGACCGCCTGGTCCCCCTGTTCCACACGAGAGATCCTACTCAGAAGGTACAAGAGAGCAGGGGCGACGCCCAGGCCGACCCCCTGGTTCAAGGTTCCAGTGGGATGACCAGGGCAGGCCTATTTGCAATCGGTGTGGTGTAGCAGGGCACATTAGCAGGCAGTGTACACCTCAATACACCTCTCAAGAGGGTTTTTAGCTTCGCCAGTCACTGTGGGTCAAGTGGCCGGGACCCCCCCTTTCTGACCCCTCACCTTCTCCCAGAGACATTCTAGTTGGCCAGTGCCCTATTGTGGAGGTACATGTCAATGGAAAGAAGGTCAGATTCCTAGTTGATACTGGTTCTCAAGTTACTCTGTTTTCACAAGGCTTGTGTAATGAACTTTTTGGTGTCCAACAATTGCAGCGGTTAGAGGCACCGTGGCTGACCTTGCGGGGTGCAAATGGACTGGACATCCCATACATTGGCTATGTAGTGGCAGACTTCCAGGTGCAGGGTGTCCTGGTGCCAGAGAGGGGGGTTGTTATCGTCAAAGACCACTGCCTGGGTGCCCATCGAGCCCTGCTAGGCATGAATGTCATCTCCGCCTGCTGGGAGGCGCTGCTTGAAAACCAAAAGGCCCCAACCATGCAGACCACTGCAAGCCGAGAATGGGAGCAGATCATTGCAGACTGCCAGAGGATTGAAGCTGCCCAGTTTTCAGAAATACAAGAGGATACTGCCCGGGTTGCCTGCCGCTATGCCCTCACCATCCCCGCCCAGAGTGAAGCAGTTGTTTGGGCAAAGGTGCCTGCCCGGCCTTATGGACCAAATAACTGGGTGGTGGTGGAGTCACACAACGAGTGCCAGGGAATTGAGGTGGCCCGAGCCCTCGCCACCGTGCACAGGGGCCGTGTGCCTGTGAGGGTCCGCAACACCAAACCCTACCCCGTCAACCTTCACCGTCACCAACGTCTGGCCCTTGTCACGGCTGTAGGACCCCAGCAACTGCAAAGAAACAGTGACATCTGCTTCAACCAAGTAAGTCCAGGGGTGGTTGAGGTGGGCATTATGCAGGTTGACCAAGGGGATTGTAAAACAAATGAGGCAATGCCTGAGCACCTCTGCTGCGAGTCCCTACGGGGGGATGGCTTGGAACAGAACCAGCAACGGCAGCTCCAATGTTTCCTGGCTAAGTGGCAACATGTGTTTTCCACCCATGACGAGGACTATGGGTGCACAGATGTTGTCCGACATCAGATCCCCACAGGTGATGCAGCCCCCATCCGCGAGCGGTACAGACCTGTACCCCCCACCCTCTACCAGGAGGTTCGGACATTGTTGCGGGGCATGTTGGATGGAGGTATCATTCGGGAAAGCAGCAGTCCCTGGGCAGCTCCAATAGTGCTGGTGCGGAAGAAGAATGGAGCTTGGAGGTTCTGCGTCGATTATCGAAAGCTGAACAACGTAACCAAGAAGGACGCTTTCCCCCTCCCACGGATAGAAGACTCCCTTAACACCTTGACGCAGGCTGCCTGGTATTCCACCTTGGACCTGGCCAGTGGTTATTGGCAGGTCCAGATGGAGGAGAGAGACAGGGAGAAAACAGCGTTCACCACCCCCTTTGGGCTCTTCGAGTGGGACAGGATGCCCTTTGGCCTCTGCAATGCTCCGGCTACCTTCCAGAGATTGATGCAGAGGTGCCTGGGGGGCAACTGGTAGATTCTACCTTGGTGTACCTTGATGATGTGATTGTTTTCTCACCAGATTTCTCCTCCCACCTCAAGCACCTCGAGGAAGTGTTCCAGGCCATGGAGAAATATGGTTTGAAGCTGCGACCAGAAAAGTGCCAGCTGTTTCGGAAGGAGGTAAAGTTTCTGGGGCACTGTGTCAGCCACCAGGGTGTCTCCCCAGATCCAGCCAAGGTGGTGGCAGTTCAAGAGTGGCAGCCCCCCCAAACGGTCAGGCAAGTGCGAGCTTTTTTGGGATTTGTGGGTTACTACAGGCTTCATCAAGGACTTTTCAAAAATTGCCAGGCCCCTGAATGCACTCCTGGTGGGCAATGGTCGTCCTCGTGGCCGGGGGTCTCCCCCAGTGGCATGGAGCCCCGAATGTGATGCAGCTTTCCAAAAGCTTAAATGTGAGCTGCTGCAGGCTCCAATTCTTGCCTATGCCAATTTTTCACAACCCTTTGTCCTGTACACTGATGCAAGCAACTCTGGGTTGGGTGCAGTACTGGCCCAGCGACAAGAGGGAGAGGAGAGAGTCATCGCCTACGCAAGTCACAGCCTTCACCCAGCAGAGAGGAACGATTCCAACTACAGTTCCTTTAAACTGGAACTTCTGGCCATGAAGTGGGCCATGAGTGAAAAGTTTAAAGACTACCTATGGGGTAACAAGGTAATTGTGGTGACTGATAACAATCCTCTTGTCCACCTGCAGACAGCAAAACTGGGGGCTGTGGAGTAGCGATGGGTGGCACAGTTGGCCAACTACGACTACCAGATACGCTATCGTCCAGGGAGAGAGCATACTAATGCTGATGTGCTTTCCCAGCTTCCTGTTGCAGAGACAGCCGCTCAAGCTCCGACCCCACCCACTGGGCCTGATGATGAACTGCTGGTAGGGGTGGTGGAAG